AGTTGACATTCCAAACATGATTACTTTTCTGTACCCTCCACTACATGGCAGGATAATGCCTTACAGCTGGGGGACAACATGCTTTTCTACCTACATCTGCCATACTGCCCTGCCCCTGCTAGCACCTGGGAGGATGACAGCTGGATACCAGAGTGCAGGAATGCTAAACAATCATTCAAGGGGGGCTTAAATCAGGCCAGATTGAAGATAATATCTGGTTTACATAGTTTCCCTTTCTTGTGGTTTGCAAAAGAACAAGAGCAAAGTTTCTTTTGCTTTCTCTTTTAAACAAATGTTTAATAATCCTTATTTTATTTTTAAAGGTTTCATTATCACCAAAACTTGTTCTAAAACTAATTCCAAAGTTGATATTTACCAGGGATGTTAATTTTGCATTTTTACATAAATTACTTTTTATTGAAATATTTTTTTGTATCACAAATGTCAATTTACATTCAAATTGTCAAATAATTATGCAAAACTTAGTGTATACAATTAAATCCTTCTAATCTCTGCTTACATTTTTGAAAACATCTTCTGAAAAGAGGAACTATTTGTCTGGCCTTTGGAAGGCCTCTTTCTCTCTTCTTGTCTCTCATCACATAAACAAAAGCTAGGAATCCCTGCACTACATATTCTTTCGAAGACTCATGCAACATAAGACATTGTGTTTTACTGAATTCCAGACAAATCTCTAGTGTTACATCAATGTTAGGCACACAGAACAGACATCTTAAATCAACCTGGAGAAATAGGGCTAGGAAGAGCAATTTGAAAAAAAAATACATGATCGTCTACGTGGCGACATATTTTTACATTGTCTATTGTATATTGCTTTCCATTTGCTAATCAAGGAATGCACTTACGCTATGCAAACAAACAATAATAACACTGCAATGTGGCTGATATAGAAATACCAATTACATTTATAAATCTAGATTTCTGTAAATTTATTAGTGGTTATCTTTACCAGCAGTTGATTATTTAAATTGTTGAAGATCTTCTTAAAAAAAATTCCATCATAAATAACAGTAATCGCTGGAGCTGTCATCGCTTACATCCCGGATCTCAATGTCACCTTGTTACATAACACTGCACTGTTACAGAAGCTGAGATAACACAGAGAATACTGAAAGTAAGGGGGGTGAAATCAGAAAGGGGGGAATGGGATGGCTAGAGGGGGGAAATTTACGAAGTTACAGATGTATGTAGGTGTTTCATTCCCTATACCAGTAAATTAGTAAATAAATGTATGAATTTTTGTAATTTTCGATGGCTGATCAAATAGCACTTTTTCCACTTATATCACAAAAATCTTGATTTAGTACAGCTCATATAACACATACCTTTCTAAATCTTAACAATCAACAAGAAATGCATACTTGTGCAGCATTGCAAAACTCACGGAATCAAAGAACATTATTATATTACATGTTTACACTTCAAATCAAAGAAACAACAAATACTGTAAGTCCTTAAATCATAGACATGTTAAATATAATACAACAATTTAACACCCTACTGAAGACATAAAATGAGTACCAGCAGGCATGATCATACAACTCATAACAGTTTAACACCTCCCTTGATCCACCAGCAAAGATCATTAAAGCAACATGATCCCCCAACATCTGTGAGGAATAAAAAAGGAGATGCATCCTCCCACCACATGGGAAAACAAGGCTGTGTGTACACAGCTTCCAGAGATAATGCTCATTAGTGTGCCAGCTCAGTGACCCCTGAATGAGGACACCAAAGGGGAATTTTGTGTTATATATATTTTTTTCATGGGATTTGCGTAAGATGGTTAGCTACATGCAATCTGCAATAAAATATACTGTCACAACACGAAATGCTTTCGTCATTTCGAGATGATAGGAAGACATCATCTTTGGACATCAGCCAGATGGTAGCATGCAAGAAAAACACATAAAAATGTACTTGAAAACCTACACATACTTCAAACCATGAAAAAAAAAATTTAAATTACTAAATTTTGAAAATAAAGAAGTTTTAGGTATTCTCTACATTAACTTTTTTTTTTTTTTATAAAGTTCAAATTTCATGATGGAAAACACTTTTTCGGAAAATAGCTCTTCAGAGCTAATGTTTTTTGTTGATTTACCTGACTTTAAATAAATATTATCTTATCTATCTTATCTTACTTTTATGGATCTATTAGAATTTGAAATTTACTCTTCAAAATTCTTAACCAAATTTCTGTTGAAATATCAAAACCTACAACTTTTATTGATGAAATATAAGGCCAACATTTTTTTATTTTCTGTTTTATGGGAATTTTTTTCAAAAATTTGAGTCGGGGGGTCGAAATAAAAATAAAAATAAAAGCTCAAAATTTAAGCAATCGGTAAGAAAAATAAAAATAAAATGAAAAAATGCAATAAAAATTTTTATTTTTAATAAAGGATTGAATTTTTTTCTAGGACCTTAATTTGTTAGGGAAAAAAGTGTTATTTGAAAAACTTATGTATACAAAACACAAAATTGGTACTGTTAATGTACCAATGAACTATTTTAAATTTAACTTTCTCTTAGATATGAATATCTGGGGCATGCGGGGGGTCCATTTCTAGTATTAACAGCTTGCAGTTTCTGACATTAATGCAAATCAAACATACAAATTTATAGTCTTCTCTCAGTTGTCAAATATCAGTGTCACCACAGTAAAGCTTATAGGACTTATGTCACACCCCTCATAAAGTTTTCAGAATCTTTTAGCTTTCAGTATTCAGCAAATTACAAGATTTGAGGATTTTGGACTAGCTCTTGCAAAGTTATGGCAAATATACAGTGAGACATTCAGTGGATCAGATAAAATAAATTAATTCACAGAAGTGCATGTGAGACATGATAAAAAGAAAAGTTGTATAATATTTTTTTCAACGCAATTCAAATTAATATATATGTAGGTGGAAAAAAGTACCCCAATCTCTCTATTGAAATCATATTCAAACTTCCTCAATCTGTTGTATATTTGATCTCTTTTTATCCTTATATTTTTCTTTCTGAGCATGCTAAATTTCAACATAATTGTAGAAAATATGTACATCTTTCCCATAGTTTACACATGTAAAATACACATGACAATATACCGGTAATTCTGTTTACTGCAGAATTTAAAAAATTGAATCGTTGAAACTGGTTCTAATCCACAACTTTTGAATGAAAAAAAAGAAACCAGGTCTTGAATTTAAATAATATTTGTAAGGGCGTATCATTTACAACAATACTTTTCCCTAGTGGTAAAAAAAGTTTTTTTACTAAACAAGAGATACTACATCAGCTGTTATTAATAGCTGATGCACATTAATTTGTTACATAGCACGCAAAATTCCATAAAATGATAAAAAAGGAAATAATGTCCTGTATCAATCAAGCACATATTTTCCTAGGTTATTTTGAATTCCAATATTTGTCATAAAACGAGTGAAAGTTGTGACTCGAATTTCCTCAGTCAAGCCACTTTCTACCAGTTCTAAAGTGTTCTGTTCTGTCGTTAATTGTAAAAGAAAACATTATTGTCTTAAAATTAAGTTTAAAAAAATCTTCAAGACCTATTTCAATGTATTGAAGCAATTGTCAGAGATAATACGTACTCAAAAACTTTCAAAACAAGCGGTTGACAGAACCTCAATTTCTACGTGGCCCTCTGCATGACATTTGATCAAGATTGCTGCTTCGTCTATTTCATTCAATCTTTCATTAAAAAGTTAATCTGAAATTTATACTTTTTTTTCTAATATATGACACTGACATGTCACTTTTTGAAACGACTATTTAAAAATATATTCTGACATTTTGGAGCTATGCTGTGCACCATTCACACTTCGAATACTGTGATTGGATGAATATATTTACTTCAGCCAATGACAAATCGCATTTTGAAAGGCTTGTGAAAAGTTTATTTATATTTCTTTTATTTTTTCAGTGACTATAAATAAACTATCGGCGGGAGAAATAAAAATAAAACTTGAATTAGGGACTTTTATTTTTATTTCATTTTAGCCCAAATTAGGGTCGGCGCTCCCGTAAAACAGGATATAAAAAAATGTTGGCCTAACTACTTCATACATCTATATCTCATTTGATGTAAAAAGTAATTTTAGTGCATGTTCATGAAAATTTTACCACTTGAATAGTAATACTATAGAAATGTAAAAGGTTCATTAAATTTCATCTCTGCCATAATAAACATTCTCCTCAAATATATTGGAATGATGAACCTACTATTGCACAATTTGATCTTCATGATAAGTAGTTGTGTCTCATTAAATGAGCTGATTCTACTACAGATTCTCTTTAAAAGTTCTGTACAATTTCGTTATTTTGTGAATTTTTCAATAACTTCAAAGATGGTAATATTTGCTTTTTCAAAAATTGAAGTGAAGTAAAGGTATTTAAATAAAATAGGATCAAGTTAATAAACCCTATTATGTTGAGTCATGCCTTACTCAAAGGTTCCTGATCGTCAAGTGTTTGTTACGTATACTACATGTATATGATGTCACGCAATAACAAAACAATTTGTGTCTTCCTCCAAAGAGAGACAATCAATGTAGAATCCCATGATAATATAATAAAAGAAAGACAACTCTTCCAATCATATAAATTTCAGATCAGTGGTTGTGTTGGGTTTTCTTTATTATTTTCTTTCCCTCAAAATTTCCTTTCATATACTAATATTTTTTTTATCTACACATCTGTATGCTTTCAGGACTAAAAAGACATATTTCAATACAGAGAACTTCTAAGTTAACTTACACTGTGTACAGTTTTATTATTCACAGTTAATACTTCAGTTATTTTTTTCACAGACACAGATTCATGTCATGTAACTGAAAATTTGAATACTAATTTTCAGTTCATGAGAGTTAAAACATTGATTTCAGCTCTACTTTCAAGACTGTTGTGTTGGTTCTAGAGAACACTGCAATCTTTTTATACCAAGTCTAAAAACTTCACAACATGCAGGCACCTACCTGGGGTTGCCACGGAGAGCAGCATGGTGTAGGGAGTTGAAGCCATTGTTATTAGTAATTGTCAGGTCAGCATGATGTTCCAGTAGCAAGGATATCATGTCATCTCGTTTCTTGCTGATGGCATCATGGAGTGGAGAATCCCCTTCAGAATCCTTAATACATGTTCAACAAGTATTTAATAACTTAAAACTTACTAAAAGGCTGAACAAGCCTGGAACTATTTCTAGTTCCTGTTTCCAAATATGTATGTAAACTTAACATTACATATTCCAAAACAGTTAACCCTCAGTATCTCTAATATGTCACGTATGATAACATTGAAATTCTTAAGTGATGTCAAATGTTGGAGAAATTTCAAAGTGATCATCTTAAGTACTTGCACATGTCAAGGAAATTTCTAGAGCTGAAACGAATACCAAAAATCAATATTCGGGACTACTATTCTATTCGTATTTGAATATTAATCAATGTCATATTTATGGTATATTTTTCTAAAATGTTATAATACCTATACCATTTGTAGACCAAAGAAAATTAATACGTGTGTATACCAATAAAATTGATAGCAATAGAGTTACTTGATGTTAAACTGCCCACTGTTTATGCTTCTCCTCAAAGAAAATGGAAAACAGAAGATGTTTTTTCTGTTGTGTGGATCTCGCCCTATTTGCAGTATAGATCTTATTTTATCACGCAAGGCTAGGTTGGTGGGAGAATGTGTAAATTTTCATATTAAAATAGAAAACTATTTTTACATGCTAAAATTTATAAAATTCTATGCATGGAAAATACAGAAAGGTCACAGTTTGATAGTAAGAATGACATCTGCTGTAGAAAAAGTCAGAAATTCGAAAGTCAATGTGCCTTATCAGGGTTTTCACGTTACTCATTACTGAACATGCTACTAACATTTTAAGAGGTCAAGTCTGTAAATAAACATGTTTCACAATCTAATTACGAGAGGCCCATGGGCCACATCACTCACCTGAGTAACTTTGGCCATGCTGTTCATTACCAGACTTCCCCCCGTGTAATACCTATTGTGGCCCCGCCCTACCCCCGGGGGTCATAATTTGAACAATTTAGAATCTACACTACCCCAGGATGCTTCCACATAAGTTTCAGCTTTTCTGGTCCAGTGGTTCTTGAGAAGATTTTTAAAGATTTTTCCTATATATTTCAACGCAAAACTTGGATTCCCTATTGAGGCCCCGCCCTACCCCTGGGGGTCATGATTTTAACAATTTAGAATTTACACTACCCCAGGATGCTTCCACATAAGTGTCAGCTTTTCTGGCTCAGTGGTTCTTGAGAAGAAGATTTTTAAAGATTTTTCCTATATACTTCAATGTAAAACTTGTATTCCCTATTGTGGCCCCGCCCTACCCCTGGGGTCATGATTTGAACAATTTAGAATCTACACTACCCCAGGATGCTTCCACATAAGTTTCTGCTTTTCTGGTTCAGTGGTTCTTGAGAAGATTTTTTAAAGATTTTTCCTGTATATTACAACGTAAAACTTGGATTCCCTATTGTGGCCCTGCCCTACCTCCGGGGGTCATGATTTGAAGAATTTAGAATCTACACTACCCCATGACGCTTCCACATAAGTTTCAGCTTTTCGGGCCCAGTGGTTCTTGAGAAGAAGAATTTTTAATGACCCCACCCTATTTTTGTCTTTTCTTGATTATCTCCCCTTGTAAGGGGACATGGCCCTTTATTATAAGAATTTAAACTCCCCTTCACCCAAGGATACTTTGTACCAAGTTTGGTTAAAATTGGCCCAGTAATTCTTGCGAAGAAGTTGAAAATGTGAAAAGTTTACAGACGGATGGACGGACGGACGACGGACAACGGGTGATCAGAAAAGCTCACTTGAGCTTTCAGCTCAGGTGAGCTAAAAACTAGATGTTCCAATCTGATACCGCTTCTAAACATCTAACAACATCCCATTTGGGGTCATGTCAGAGCGACCTTTCGATTACCCAATGAAATTGCCGCCTCCGAAATCTTGGCTTATAGTTCAGATGCGTTTCTTTCTTCACTGCCAAATCTTAACACCCGAGGAGTTTCTTAGTAAACAAAATATCCAAGGCAAAGGCCGTGCTATGTATGAATGTGACGTGCAGGATATCTTGTATAGTTCATGCATTTTCGTTTATGTTATTCAAGTAAGAATGCCAGATTGGCGGACTATACATTCAATTTATACCAAAAATACTTTAATTCAACATAAGAGGGAACTACTGAGCATCAATAATGTTAAGATGTAGCTGTGGAACTAATTTTAAGATCATATACAGAAGCTAGAATCTGATTGGTCAAAATTTTCATGTTTATTCAAAATCGAAAGGTCGCTCTGACGTAACCCCGAATGGGATGTTGTTAGATGTTTGAGAAGCTGTAGCGGATTCGGAACATCTTATTTTAATTAGATTGCATGTTTCAAAAAATTAAAGTCAGTAATTAATTTTTAGGATTAATTCTTTTTAAAAGAAAACACATTTGTGATTTAGTGACACCCATGATAGAAAAACGCCTGGAAATGGTGCAGCAGGGCCATATAAACGATCGGTGATGAAATTGGTAGGCCTGAATCACACTCAATATGAAAATGAAATGTCTTGAGCGTATATTCAAAAGGCTTTACACTGAGAAAAATTATGTGCATTCTTTGTTGAAATTTCTAACCATACTTCCAGTACTTTCTAACAGTAATAAAATCCCTAGAGGTAGTAAACAGTTAGGTTGGAGCATCGAAAGGATAAAGTAGCACTAAATCCTTATTAATACTATTGATTTTTATCATTAAAGTACCAATATAATTTAATCAACAAAGTAATAAACAAAAACGATTATTCGGACATTCGTTTCAGCTCTAGAAATTCCAAAATGGTTTCACATATTAGAGAAATTTCAAAGTGAGTCTACCATCCCAACCATATTATGTCTATGACATCGCAAAATATTAAATTTCTTTCAAGATACTAAGGTTTCACTGTCATGAAAATATTTTTCATGCAAAAATGTTAAATTATTCATATCTTTTTTTTTCTCAAACATATGAAACCTGTGAGCATATTACAAAACAAGTGGAACATATCAAATAATATATTTACCTCCCTCAGACTAAGTGTCCACATTTCAATGAATCATCAGTTCTATATCAAATATACAAATTACTGTACAACCAGACTACTCTCTACCTGAAGACTCGGGTGACATCCCAACTCAAGGAGAGTCTTGACCACTCCAATGTGACCTTTGTTGACCCCTATGTGGAGAGGTGTCTGTCTACGTTTGTTGCGGGCATTGAGGTCTGCACCACCACGCTGCAGCTGTTCAATTACACTGGGTTCATCTCCAAATGCGGCATGATGCACAGCCCGGTCTCCATCTTTGTCCTGCAGCATTAAAGTTTCGTAATAAAATTGATATCTATTTTCTGATTATAAATAGCAATAAGATAAAAGTTGACCATATGTATGAGATTTTTAACAATCCATCCAATCTATGGCAGACATAATATAAAATGTTTTTTATATTATATATAATAACAATGGCTTCAACTCCCTCACCATGATTACAAAAACTTTAAAAAAGCAGCACATATTTAAGAAAAAAATCAAATTGTTGGTTTGCCTTTCATTTGTAATTTAGATAAGCAAAATACTAGCAGTGATACTTAATATTTTTACAGACAACCTCATAAACTACTGAATGTATGGTCATCATAAGAGACTTGAAATAAAATTATATACCTCAATTTCGAAATCCACATCATGTTTAATGAGGATCTTGATGACATCAGTGTGTCCATTCTGTGATGCAGCCTGCAGGGCTGTATGTCCAGCAAACATACCATTGGCCTAATGAAGAAAGAAAAAATGTTGTTAACTTATGTTTTAATACACTGAAAAATTACAAAAATATACCGTATAAGCAGAATTTTAGCAAGGTTTCTATTTTGGCATTATTAGCGAGGGTTTTGACACGTTAAAATTGAATTCCACAATGTGGACAACAATTTAGCTATATCAGTTTTTATAGCTATCTTTCCTGACATTATACAAGAGGCCCATGGGCCTTGAATCGCTCTTCTGATAAACTGTACAACCTATCACTTCTATTTGAAGCCTCGAAGTATCCTGTATATTTACATGAACCCTTGAAATTCCAATTCACACTCTGAGAACCCAAGATGATTCTAAGCCAATTAGTACCTGAGAGTTGGTCATGGTGACCTACTTATCACTTGTCATTCTCTGAGGACCCATCAACTAAGTTTGATGATTCTAAGCCAATTAATACCTAAAGTATTTTTTAAAATTATAATCAAAAAATTTTATAAGTAAGTCAAAGTGACCTACTTTTCAATTGTTTTACTCCAAGGACCCAAGATGCATCAACTGACAAAGTTTGATGATTCTAAGCCAATTAGTACCTGTAATATTTAATTAAAGCCATAAATTTTCAAAAGTAGGTCACCGTGACCTACTTTTCAGTTGCTGTACTCCGAGGACCAAAGATACATCGACTGACAAAGTTTGATGATTCTAGCCAATAAGTACCCAAAATATTTAATTACAGCCATAAATTTTCAAAAGGAGGTCACAGTGACCTATTTTTCAGTCAACCTACTCCGGGGACCAAAGATGCATCAATTGACAAATTTTGACGATTCTAAGCCAAATAATTCCTGAAAATATTAAATACAGCCATAAAACTTCAAAAGTAGGTCATCGTGACCTACTTTTCAGTTGTTGTACTCCGAGGACCCAAGACGCATCAACTGACAAAGTTTAATGATTCTAAGCCAGTTAGTACCCGAAATATTTTATTAAAGCCATAAATTTTCCGAAAGTAGGTCACGGTGACCTACTTTTTAGTCGACCTACTCCGAAGACCCATGACGCATCAACTGACAAAGTTTGATGATTCTAAGCCAATTAGTACCCGAAATATTTAATTAAAGCCATAAATTTTCAAAAGTAGGTCACGGTGACCTACTTTTTAGTCGATCTACTCTGAAGACCCAAGATGCATCAACTGACAAAGTTTGATGATTCTAAGCCAATTAGTACCCGAAATATTAAATTAACGCCATAAATTTTCAAAAGTAGGTCACTGTGACCTACTTTTTAGTCAACCTACTCCGAAGACCCAAGATGCATCAACTGACAAAGTTTGATGATTCTAAGCCAATTAGTACCTGAAATATTTAATTATAGTCACCGTGACCTACTTTTCAGTTGACCTTTTTTGAAGACCCAAGATGCATCAACTTACAAAGTTTTATGATCATAGGACTTAAAATGTCCAAATTATGCCTCTAAAACGCTTTGAAATTGAATGCCTGCAAAGTTCAAAAAGTAGGTCACTGTGACCTACTTTTTAATAAATATATTTTATGGCCCCAAGATGCATCATCTTACAAGATTTAATGATTCTAAGCCTCCCCATATTCGAATTAATGACCTTAATTGTTTTAAAAATGATTAGCCATAAAATTCAAAAAGTAGGTCAAGGTGACCTACTTTTTAGTTGACGTACTTTGAGGACCCAAGATGCATCAACTGACAAAGTTTGATGATCATAAGCCTTAAATTGTTCAAAATATACCTCTAAATCAGTTTGAAAAAGAATGGCCGCAAAATTTAAAAAGTAGGTCACCATGACCTACTTTTGAGTCAACATGATATGAGGTCCTTAGATGCACCAACTGACAAGATTTGATGATCCTAGTCCTTATAGTAAGCAAAATATCAACATTTTAATAAAATGTAATTTTTGGTCAACTTTGAAGTGACCTTGAGACCACGCCCTTTGCCCCAGGGTAAATCCCCGTGCAAATTTTAATCTACAACATATCCTCATCCTTTTGTGTAAGTTTGGTGATAATCTGCCCAGTGGTTCTTGAGAAGAAGATATTTTTAGCAACCAGTACTTTTGTTTCTATTTTCCTAATTATCTCCCCTTGTTAAAGGGTCACAACCCCAGTTTTAGTACAAAAGGGAGCCCTTGGGCCAAGGATACCCTGTGACAAATTTGACAATAATTGGCCAAGGGGTTCTTGAGTTATGGCCCATATTCTAAAAAGTTTACGCACACCGCACACCGCACAAATGGCCATAGCATTAGCTCTTTGAGCCTTTGGCTCAGAAGAGCTAAAAATGGCTAAAATTACTTCTCATCAAAATATATACCAATTTTTTTGGGATAAATCACTAAATTTGTGTCGCTAAAAATTCCTTTTATATGGTATTTGCATTCACTTTCATTTTTTTTTTCTTTTTGCTCAATATTTTTCACTTCTATGATCTTGAAAGATGAGACTGGATGTTCCAACATCAACAGTTGAATTTCACTAAATTCACTGATCATTCTATACATGTATATGTGTGTTTTACTTTCAGCAAGAATATTTACGGAAGGTGCAAGTTCTGACAGACAAACCTCATTCCAATCTATTACTGTAGACATTTTAATTCCACAGTGCTAAAATTTCATGATTTCTCACAAGGGTACCAATTGCCATGGTTCAATTTCACTCTACAGGAATGTGACATGTGACAGATACTTTTAATGTGATCTTACGAGGGTTAATCAAAAAGTTTGTAGACTTTTGTCAAATCTTTTTTATTTAATGTTTAGAACCAAATTCGGTAGACATAATTTTACTTTAAATCCAAATAATTTCAATAAAAAAATTCAATTCATATATTTTGCCTCATTGAAAGAAAATCAATTTTAGAAGACAGGTAGTCCTCACTGAAATAAAGTAAAACAGATGATGCTGCAGGACATGGAAATGGACATGGTCATGGAGCAGCGAGTAGCGATACAGTTTAGTATTGTATTTGGAAACCTCTAAAACAAACACTGAAAGTGCTTGAGGAACCAAAAATATATCAAAAGTGGGCCATGCATTAGTGTACAGGGTTCAACACTTGTTAAAATTTGGTCTCGCCATTTGGGCAACCTTGGTACTGATTTCAGGTCGCCCGAACAAAATATCAAAAGAAACAAAAATGTACAATAGTTAAAAATTTGTTAAAATATTAAACAGAGGTTATGCTATTATAAAATGTAAACCAAATATTTTTGGAATATCAAAAGCTGTCTTCCAGTATATTATCAAACAAAGAAAACAAGCAACAAATATTAATAAGCAGAATCAGAATGCTAATTAGACTTAAAAAAAATTATGTTTGTTTCTTGTATAATATTCCCAATTAATCAAGGGTTGGTAGGATGGGATTTTATTTATTTATTATTATTTTTTGCTAATATACAATCTCACCTCACATATTCATTATTGACACAAAATAAAGTTTCTAGTTTAAAACATTCATTTTCACTTACCAAAAAGGCCTTAATAAAGGGGGTCAAACATCCCTGGACTGAATTAACCAGGTGTGATGTTTACAGTGGACACCCTACATGGCTGTCTAGCAGCAGAAAACGAACATCAGAAAGTTGTGGGGGAAATACTAGATGTTACAATAATGATCATTACTCTTTATATTTATGGTGATTGTTGACTAGGTTTACATATTTTATATCTCAAATAAAACTTAATTTAACACTTTTGGTAAAAATTACATCAGCTGATTGATCAAACACGGATTTGACAGAAAGAAAAATCCACCCAGCTGCTAATTGAATGGGTCGGTCGGGTTACAGGAAACAATGTTTTCAAGGCCTTATAAGGTTTATTTTAAAATATTAAACATCATTATTGAAAATTCCCAACTCGTCCCAGGTCGTCATTTGGGCGAGCCAGACTGAAAATCAGGTCGTCCAAAATCAATCGGGGTGGAAATGACGAGGTGACAAGCGTGAATGTCGAACCCTGAGTGTATAAATGGCGAAGTCAGTTTTTGAGTGGCAGAGACATTAAAATTGGACAGAGGGCAGAAAGCAAGGAAATAGATTACATGAAAATGTTTAGGTAAAACTCTAGTTAAAAGAGTCATTAACTTCATGGAAAGTGATGTGCACATCACTGTTGCAGAACCTTTGAAAGCTTCTGGATATGTTTTTAATGAATGAGTAAGACTTTGTGAGAAAGAAAGATTAGAGGAGAGTCATTTTGAAAAACTTTCATAACAGTGATTTTGACGTTACAATGTTGTTCAGAGTGCTCTGTGGTGACAAAATATGATGATTTTAAAATTCAGTATTCCATATTTTTCTGCCCCATTCATAGATTAGTACTGTTTATAGGTTTTATGAGATTATTTCTGTTTGTTTTCTTTACCTTTGACATACCATCTAATCAAATGGAATGAAACCTCAAACATCAACAAAATGATTGTTTTACATATGAAAATGTGTTGATCTTAAATTTTGTAAAAGAGTGACATTGTCTATATATTTTTTGAATGACCATTATATGACCTTATTCACTATGGGTTTTAATTTTGCAGAGAATGATAAACTGTGAACATAGTGGAATGTCAAAATCACTGTTATGAAAGTTTTTCAATATACACATCATTGTACAATGCTGTAAATTTAATTTGACATACATCATTTTCTGGCCTGCTGAGCAGATCTTCCACTTTAACATAGTCACCATTGGCTGCAGCTTTGACCAGTTCTTCATTGGCATCTCCAGTAACATGGGTCTCGAACAGTTTCTTCAGCAAAGCACTCAGTCTCTCTGAAAAGTTGATTAAATACATATCTTATTTGGATAACATTTCCCAAAATAAATCAATATTACAAATGATCAAATTTCAAAAGTCTATTCCATGATCAAACACTCCAAAACAAATATTCTTTACAGCTTTTCATGTTTAAATAAGTGTGTCTTAAAAATTGCGAAACATAATTTTCTGCAAATCCTTTCCTTCCCAATCTCATTTTTACTTTTGATGATTAAAGTATAAAAAGAGCATACACCACTACATCCCTTACCTCCTGAGGAGTTTCCTATAGCGGCACCATCAGAGGAGGCCACCTTCGTGACTGCTGAAGGGTTATAGGTCCACGAGGTACCACATACTTCTACCTTCAGATCACTGTCGTGATAAATCTGTTGGACCCGTCCTATCTTTCCAAGAGTCTGAAAAAACACAAAGTTATAACTGAAATTTATCTATAATTCAATATACAAAAAAAAATACAATGATATAACTTTAAAAGTGAGAGAGAGTTTCCATAGAAACTAATAAACAAAGTTTTACATACTGGTAACATGGCCTCTGCCCATTCTCCATGTCCTCTCTGTAGCAGTTTTATCTTCTCTGGGTCATTACAAATCTGGACTAGGTCTCCCACAGCAAACTGTGCTGAGGGAGGGGCAGCTGGGGTAGCCTCATTGGAAGTGGAGGGAGCAGAACTGGGGGTGTTTACTTTTGTCAGAACTGCCGGGTTGAAAGTCCATCTGTAAAACAATGTTTTCTTTTGATAAACAAGAAGAAACTCTACCATTATTATTTTTTGGTCTCTTTTTTCCATTTAATGTAATAAATTACATTTACTGTATAATTTTCTTCCATTGTTTGATTAAATACATTGTAATTCTATTACTAAAAATAAACCAGAAAGAAAATCTTTTTTTAAGACTGCTTGATGTCAAGGAGTAATGTAGTTACTGATCTAATTTTATTATGTACTTAAGCTTTTCCCTATTTTCTATAGTTACATAAGTTTAAATCATAAAGTAGCTGTCACTAGAACTCACCAAGACAAGGGAATGCCTTTGAGTAAACTTTTTTTAACATTTTATTAATTTTATACAACTTTCTCTTATACATTACTATCTTCATTTCAATTTTACTAACCTGTTACCACTAGGATAAGAAACAACAATATCATGATCTTCATCAATCCCAACAACAGTCCCTGTAGTACCCAAACACTGAAATAAAAGATAACCTGTATCAACACATAGCACAGGGTAAGATACAATAAAATTAACATGAATCAATTTTTTTTTCCAGCTTAGTTATCATGTTATGAATATAGCTTACTCATCCTCTAAAAAAAAAAAAAAAAAAAAAAAAAAAAAAAAAAAACGAAGCATCACAGGCCATTATGACTTTACTGAGCTAATGCAATACTCACAAATCACTTTCAATACATACTGATACATACTGATATCAAAATCTGTTCAACAAAATCCATTCATTTATATTCACAGCATAAAGCCAATCTACCATGACTTAAAAGAATAAAGCAATAGAAATAATTTCCTACAACAATGATTTCTTACCTCAAACATTCCATCTGTCCATCCACCATGACCATGCTGTAAAGACTGTACAATCTCTAGTTCCAGATCTACGTTGACTTGATCTCCAATGGCTAAACCACCAGGACCTGACCTTGACCCTGGACCTTGTTCTCCTGAAATTAAAAAGAAAATAATAAATAAAAGGAATAACTGATCCATATAATCAATAAACATACTCAAATTTCATTATTTGCATTTACATCATAGAGACACATTACACCCAAATTGTAAAAAATTGTTGAAAAATTTCCGTAGAATACGTTCTATTTCCACTATGGAAGAGTTATACTTCTTAGTGCACTCTTTTGTGAAAAAGTCGGAAAATGTACAAATCTCGCGGGATTTCAGGGACAAATGTAACATAAACATGTAAAAAATATGTTGAATGTCGATGAACAAATCCTAAGAAAATGCAAATGAAATATTTTATTGTTGTGGACTTTATATACATCAAGAGTAGGAATGACAACGATATCAATTTATATCTATTGTTGATCGTATGAATCTATTTATCATATGGTACATCTAAATACAATACACATGCCTCGGAAATGTTGTATTTTTTATTAATGGATGATAAATTTAGGGTTCTCGCTCTCTTACATATGTCTTTTAGTTCTTCTATTCTTTAATTGGAATGACAAATACATTTAACATTAAAAATTAAATTAAGATTGACATGTTTTGCATTATCCGCAACGCCATGCTGTCCCTGTCAGACGACCAAACGCGCCTCTAATTTTGAAGAGTTCAGTAATAGAAATAGAACGTATTAAGAAAAAACATGACTTTTAACACTATGTATTTACACTATGCATATAAAGTAAAAAATCAAATGTGGCTTGTAATTACATGTACCTAAGAGAGGAAGATGATCTCTGTAGAATGACCCTCCTTTAGCATCATTCACAACCTTCAAATCAGCCTACAAATAGATTCAATAAGAAACATAATTTACAAAATCAACAAAATCTCATCATTGTACATGTACCAGTTTAATAAATGTGCTTTGTGAACATTTTTTTTCAAAACAATTATTCAATTTACAGTGCAATTAAAATGTGTCATGCAAAAAATATCAATTTACAATAGGGGTAATGATTCATGAAGTAAATATACACACCATTCCCTCAAAGCCAACTCTGTAGAGGTTCTTTGCTGCATTGTCCCATAAAACATAGGCTGCACTTCTTGGGCTAGCAGCACTCCAGTCCTGTATCTCGGTGACCTTCCCCCTTCGACCATTTCCCCCATCCTGATCCTCCCACTGCCAGTCCACCCCTCTTACTACACGGGCCCCAGGAAATATACCCCGAGCTGTTATCTTTTTGCTTTTTCTTCTAGGTTCCACAGAACACCTTTTCATAAATGAGAATTTAAAATTTATTATGTTTATAAAATTACAGCATTTTTCATGTTTGTAAGTAAATACACATCGTATAAATGTATATGTATGTACAGGTTTTTTATTCAAAGGGAGGGGTCAAATTGACAGTGATCACTAGTTCAAATCGCAACATCACTGATATACAAAAGTTTTGAATGTACCGGTAATACTCAAATTTAGGCCTAGCAGTTTGCAACTGCTGGAATATTATTTCTGAGCATAATAGCCCTGGATCAGGCTTAACTATCCTACACTACAGAACATGTAAACTCATCACTGGACCGTAAAGATATAAACACACTGTGAAAGAGCAAGTACAACTTATTAATACATGTATGTATATAATCATATTATATCATTCTAATTTCTTCAGTGAAATAACTTATATATTTTGTGGAATTTTTCAATTTTTTAACACATTTTTCTGGAAAAAGTAGAACAGTAAAATATTTGTATTTTATTTGTGCCATGACGTGATTTCGTCACATCATAGCCTCCCATCTCCTAAAATGTTATATAAGTCGTCAGAACTAATAGATTCAAACCTCGTTACCTCGAACTCCATGGGACCGAGAAAAAACTTCAAGATATCCAATGATTCGAGATAAAATACGTAAAAAATAAGTAGTTGGGACTTCCAGATCACTTTGACATATCCATGGTATTCGAGTATTCAGTGTTCAAGATACCGAAGTTCAACTGTATTTTCATTTGCTATAGCAAAGGCTTCATGTTGCATAGATATGATACCTTTTGAAGCATCAATAATCAGTATACAGAATTGAACTTATTATGTGTTGGGTTTTGGTATGTTTATATAACAAATGTTCGAAATCTAACATACTTATCACTTCCAGGTGTCGTGATTCTATAAAATCTGTGTCGTAAATTGTGTTTATCGCCATGGTAGCAGACGCTGCACAAGTCATAGTTGGAGCATTCAGCACATTTCCATCTGATGCCAAATATGGGTTGTTGTCTACAGGTGTCACACATGGTTCCATCATGTTTAATACCTGATATAAAATATAAAAAAATTAGTATACATTTTAAACTTTAGCTTGACAAAAATTCTATCACTGCTCATCACTTTATTCACCATATGCATAGTTGTAAAGCCTAGTCTTTCTAATAAACATAATATTTAGTTAATAAGTTAATCTCAAATTAACTCTTAGAAAACCCATTCACACCTGAGTAGACTGAAACAATCAGAAAATGCAGATAAAATGCTCTGTCGGTGAAAAATTACCAAGTAACAATGCTGGGATTTGAACAAGCTATTCTCTTCAAATGCGAGAAAACCACTGATCCATTTGGTCTGTCATTGAAAAATGATGATGGGATATTTGAACAATGTGTTACTTTTGCCCAAACAATTATATGAATACTATATTATCATGGTTTAATACCCAAGTTTCAACCTACCTCAACTGTTAATTATTTCATACATTATGTATGAAATCAAATAGACTTGTGATCGACACAGCAAAAGGAACAAGATGACATAAGCTAGCATTATATATGAATACCTTTGAAGATTCTTGTCTAAATTTATAACATTGTATACTGTGCATTATGTAATAACTTGTTTATTCTTTACCATTCCTCTTAAATTCAAGTGTTGCATCTTGACTGTTAAGTTATCCTTAGCTTAATATATTTAAAGCCTGAATGAGAGAATTTTATCACTATTCTCAAAAAATATGGGGTGGTTTGAAGTTTGTCAAAAAGTTTTCATTCATACTGCATAACAATACAAACAAGTATAACATTTCTCATATGAAAATTTTACATAAAAATTTCCATTAAAATAAAACTGATACCAGTACTATTGCTTTTCAAATTCTGAGTGAATAAACAAATCAATTGTTTATGTTACAAACTCAACACATTTCTCTAGTCCTTCATTGCACCTACTTTTCTGCCAAGTAGAATACTCCTTGTATGCATGTATATGTACATCTACAAATTTATAAATTATAATATATGTTTGCACGAGGAAGTAAGAAGAATACAAGATTCCTATAGAACACTTACTTGCTATTTTTTTAAAGTGTGTAAATACATCATTAAATCAAATGAGTGAGTCCATCAACCAGAGAGGATGAACACAATGAGTCGAATGACAGGGACACTTATACTAAACTGTAAAACAAGTCTACGTCATCTGTAACATCAGAGGTTACAGTATGTGTTTTAGCAAAGGAGATATTGCAGATGGCAATATTTTACTAGTCTACTGTGGTTTGTCCCAATTATCAAACCCTGTTTCAAAGCCAAGTGAGAGGTGCTCAGATCATCTTTCCTTCAATCTTAATTTACATAGAGTATACATTCAAATTGGTTTCTTACACATAATAGCAAACGAGCTCTATAGACTAACATGTACAAACAGATGAATTTGAAAACAAATCTGCACATTCGTCAGGGAAATTTTTGTGTGCAAGTATCCCAGAACTCCTTCCCTATGACAATTTCATGCAATAATTGTGGACAAAACACATAGGTGACCAAGATATGAGTCTTGCAGAGAGCTAAACAAAGAAAGAATAATTGCACTTTCTCTTAAAATAATTATACATGTATATCAATGTCTTTTGAAAGACTCTATTATGGAAGTGCACCTAACATGTATGACCAGATCTGGCACAATCTCTTGATAAAGCTATATAGTTTGAATTTGCTATACCAGGTATATACATTCAAACCTCCTTATCTCGAAAATGAGGGGACTGAGAAAAAACTTTGAGATATCAAAGGATTCAAAATATCAAGGGTAAAATACTTATAGAATAATTGGTTGGGGAATTCCAAATCACTTCGACATATCCATGATGTTCAAGATATTGGTGTTCCAGATACCCGGTACCAAAGTTCAACTGTAGTTTTAATAAACTATTCAAAATAGCTTGATTTAGCTATTTTATCACACTTTTTTTCTTAAATGTATCATTTTTGTCAGCACAAAAAAGTCACACTTTGGTGCAGTGACAGTATTCAACTTTGAATTCTTCTGAAAATAATGCATGTAAAAATCACCATCAAATTGCGTCGCCTTGAGAGACTTTGTACTCAAAGTTCTAAAAGTTTTTGAGCTATATAAAGCAACTGATTGGTGAACTTTTTTTCTATTTCTTACATAAAAAAATTTCCATGAAAAACTGCTGCAGAACTGTAGAGCTACGGTGCCATCCATAGAGAAAACTGTATATTTAAGGCGCACAAAAAATTGTGCTTGATTCTGGATTTATTTCTCCAAAGTCTTACCTTAACTGCACAAAACTCAATTTCAAGAAATTATCTAGACCTTGATCAGCTACTGTCGTAGTTGACATCTGCACGAAGCCAACTGGACGGAATTGTCTTGCCACCCAATATTGCAGTATAAATAGGAGAAATTTGCGATTGTCTTAATTTCAGGCCCAGAAGGGCTATGAACATGGTTATAGGGAATGTTTTGTTGTGTAAATAGTAAAAGAATGTGTTTGGAACACACAGTTAGTTAAATTTTGAGGTGGCAGTTTAAATATACAGAGAAATAAACCCAGAATAGAGCGCAATTTTTTGTACGCAAAAATATACAGTTCTTTTTTTTGGGTGGCACTGTAGCTCTCCAGTCTGTCAATATTTTTCTTCAGAGTGCTACAGTTCTGCAGCTAGCTATATAGCTAAATCAAGAGATTGTGCTGGACCTGTGACAAAAGATGTAACAGCACATTTTAGACCAAATGCATTCAAACTTTTACGTTTTAATGTTTCATGAGGTTTGTAGAGACAGATACTTCTGAATCTGTATATAAATGTATTTGATGAATTCCAAAAATTTATATACAACTGTGCTTACCCCAAGTCGCACTGTCAAAGATTATATTAATACACAAAAAAATACTGTGAACGGAAATCAGAATTCACAAGAGTAAAATATGACACACACAATCAAAACATACTTCAAACACCCCCTGTGGCTAAGGCATACAAGTATATAAATGTAAAGTAATGCAAAATATTGAGACACCTGTAGGAGCACTATCAACGATTCTCAAGTCAAATGCCCCTGCACATCTATAATTGGCTGCCGTTCCATTATCCCATACAACAACGACTTCCTCTGGAGACTCGAAATTCCTCACAGTCCCGACATGTCCCTCTCCCCCGTCTTGTTTCCCCCACTTCCAGTCAGGACCTCGAACAACACGAGCTCCCACGCCCTCTACCATATTTACACGAGCTACTCGATTAGTCGTGCTAATATTTGGATCTATATTATCAGCATTCATTGTCACTGATTGTTAATATATTCTCAGAAGGAAGGAATTTAACAATATTTCGTCGATGTAAACATTACATTTTCTTCTCTGTCTGTCAAATGGCTGATATGAACTCTCGCGAGAAACCTCGAGGTCTTTCGGAACTTAAAATAAAACCCATCGGAATACCTTTCCACTTTACTCATTCGTTACTTAGTATGGCGACAGCGAGCATGAAACAACTGAAGAGGAGATCAAGAAGAAGAATTGCTGCTGTGAATTTTTTATCAAATATTTCATTAGATGGTACATATAGGGATACAAAGCATGCTTTATTCAATCCTAAACATCAGCGTTTGAAGGATGATATTGTGGAGGAGGTGGAAAATCATGTCAACAAATCAGGTGCAGAAGAACTGTGTGGTGATGATGAAAATGAGTCCAATTTAGAAGGAACTAAGAAAGTGACCGCTTTGTCAGCGGTTGAAAACATTGTGTCAGTGAATAAATCCGTCCAGAACAATGAGAATGGGACTGTATTACAGCGGAGACTGTCCAAGGGAAAACGGGGAAGGTAAGTTATAGTCAAGCAGGTCATTGTGAGTAAAGATGGAGATCACTGGACCAATGTCAGGGGTGATCAGTGGTCAGTATCGATTTCCGATAGTAAGATATTCCCAGCAAAATGAAACTTCTTCTTTTCTTTTGCCCTAGTTTATTTGCAGTACATCTCCACTCACCTGGTATCTATAAATTTTATACAGGATTTTTTAAATTTTATTTTGGTCTATTTTTTTTTTTTAATGTAATAAGTAATTTTATGAATATTAAAATAGTAATGTTCCATGGTGTTTAACTTCTTATAGGTAATGTGTTAGATCCTTATGGCCTTTAGGAGAAGTCAACTCTATCAATGTGTGTACCAATAAGGAAATTTTTTTTAATGTAGTATCAAAAATATTAACCTGGAAGCTATTCCGTGATAAATAGTCTAAATTCATATGATCCTGATGACTGTCACTAAATATGTTTTCTCATAGACATTCCAAAATCAACTTGTGATCACTCAAAGAGGAAATAATTTTGGTGCAAACCTATGAATATGTGGCAAAGAAGAGTGGTTCATTTGTCAGAGATGACAGTATGTTGACAGATTTACTAACACTTCTTTGACCATACAACTTGTGTTTCTCCATAAGGGGGAAATTTTCAACAACAATAAAATAAAAATAGCATTATTATTGAAGAACCAAGTTACCCCTTTTGTCCTACTTTTAAAATCTGGTCTCTGGGGGATTTTAATTTATCATGATTCTTAATTAAAATAAAAAAATATAATGAAATAAAAGAATCTATTATTCTAGTATGAGATTATGAGTCCAGAATACATATTTTAAACATTTCAATACACTGCAATTCTATCATCAGCATACCATTGTCACAAATTAGCCCCAGGGTTTACAGCACACTGGTCAGTAAATAGAGTCTAGACTGTTATTTTTCTTTGCATAACACCTCCATGGGTCGTCACACACCTTGTTCTGTTAAGTAAACAGGCAGTGCTAATTTTAACCTGTATGTTTCCTGCTCCAAAAACCTTTCACAGTAAAAAATGGTGCAAGGTAGAGAACATGAAAGTATTCATTATAATTTTTAGCAATTTTATTACTTTATTATTCAACTTGGTAAATTTGTGGGCTAGTTTTCAAGGATTTTTTGTTGTTGTTGAAAGGAATTTCATGATTAAATTTTCTTGTGAGAAGATCTGACAAGGATGTTAGCATCATGAAAGCTTCGAGTACTCCACCCATAATATCCATTCTTTCTGATTATTGATAAATAATTAAGGTTCATCGATACTCTGATAAGAGAGATAACTCTTTAATGACATAAATGCGAATTATTCCTTTATAATCTTGTCAAGTTGAAGTGTTTTTTTTGTCCGATTTTGCCCCACAAGCTATGCTATAATTGTTTGTATTTTACTTAAAAAATACATTTCTTTTGGAAAATCATAAGAGTTAAAGAAACATTTTATATGAGTAAGCAGAGGGTTTATGAACCTTAAGGACTGTTCTAACAGTTGGTGGAAATCAATGGATTTAATCATCTACATAATGTTTTCAAACTTCTTTTATAGAAATTTAGAATTTATGAAATAAGATTAATTACCTTATTCAATATCAAAAAACTTGTTGAAGTCACTTGTAAAAAAGATTTTATAATTTTTAATAGCTAGTTATGTGTTCCACTTTTCAAAGATTTTATGTAATAGTATTTGCAAGAGGCAAACAAAAAAAAATACAATTAAATGAAGCTACCAATACCCTTATCTTACCTATGTTATCAACCTAGAGTTGAATTTGTAATCTGTATAGGAGTAATGAGAAACATCAATACATTACGACCAAAAAATATTATAAACAGTTATTGATCCTATTATAAAATACAATATAAATTATGTTTGTTGTCTTCATGAACTTCATTTGACCATGCATATTAAAAATCCATCACCACAGTGATTCATTATAATTTTTTTTTTTCAGTGTGAATCATATGTTTTATTTATCTTAATAAACTGTTCCATCAGACTGGAGATTTACATAATTATACACTAAGACAGCACTTACGTCAATTAACTCCCATAAATTAATTAAAAACTATCCGGAGACATATCTTTTCTTTCTTATTCATTCACCTGCGTCATTTGACAAGGTGTATAAATTCAAATTCCTTGTTGCACCTTAGAATGTCACTGTCACATTATACACAAAGATTTTAGAATTTTGTTGTGTTAATTAAATCAGTTTTGTATTTATGGAAACTTTTGATTAAGTTTATGCAATATAAGATTTCTGAATAAAATCATGAAAGATCTGTTATTTAATAAAAAAAAAAATCAATGGCAGAAAGTTAATACAAGACTTTTAATATGTATTAAATTTTACATATATGTTTAAATTGATTATAAAAAAAAATTTAGCATCATGTTAAAATTTTGTTCAGTGGGTTCAATTTGTTTTATTTTCCATCAAAGAGAAGTCCGTTTGACATTTATAATTATAGTTTATCAGGATTAAAGCCAATCACGACTACACAATACTTCAGTTTCTTGTAAACATGAACCAATAGAGGGGGTTGGCCTTAAAAATGACCTTGACTGTCTGCCAGAAATTGAGAACAATACACAAATGTTGATATAACATAGATTTGTAAGATTACAAGATCAAATAGACTCTTCAAAGGAATCATTAAATTCAAAAATTAATTAACAATACATTTTTAATTGTGAATCAATTTTTTTTGAACTAGCAGAAATTATTATTTGGTTATTAATGTGTGGTAATATGATTCAATGTTAAGTTTGTTGTTATCTACATTGTATGCGATTAAAATTGAATGTAGGTCATATAATTGATATAAAGCATGTTTACTAGTATGTATTGACCTAGTTTAGAATGTAGGAGTACTGATCCTGGAGGATTTGTGTCGATTGATTAAACAAATGTTTTTCTTGTTTTTAATTTTTCTTTTAAATTGAATTTCAGTACTGGTAATCTCTGGGGATTTGTGTCATTTGATTAAACAAATGTTTTTCTTGCTTTTAATTTTTCTTTTAAAGTTTCCAGAGTTAAGTTCAACCATTTGTAGTTTTGTCTCATTCCTTCAAATGATCATGCTTTTAAAATTAAAAAAAAAATGATATTTGACTTTGAAAATTATTTAAATGCTATGAATCAAAATCATGAATCTTCAACTACATGTAAACCATTGAGGAACATGTAAATAATACATTATAACATTTGTAATTTACAATACAGACAACACTTTATAGAAATGACTACATTTCCAGTTTTGAGAATCATTTACAAATTTTGTGATCAATCATCACTAATCAATAAAAAAAAGTTTTCATATTTTTCAGCATGTTATTTAATATAAAAAAAAAATTATTAATGGTTCAAGTTTGTTCTAGGTAAAACATATACTAAATTAATTGTGACCTGTGAAACTGGTTATCTAACATATTTATACATGTCAGAGTGAATTCCTGTATAATAATATGTCCTGAAATGTTTATAGCAATGCATTGTTTTTGCATTAATTCATATATGGCTAAATTAAGGGTTCAGGAGATCCCCGAACTGCATTTAGAGTTCATGATTGAGGTCCCCAAGCTGCCTTTAGCAACTTGACGTCCCCTTTTACCTGTGAGATCTGAGGTTCAGAATTCTGCAATTTTCCGGATCTCCATAACTTTGGCTACCGGTATATATATAAGCAAGAAAAAGTAAAATATCTGCAAGAGCATTTTTCTCTTTTAAAATATATGCAAAACTACAGACCTAGTCCTTGTATCATGAAACAGACTTTTAAAAGTCAAGATTTCAATCATCTGTTGGATCTCTTATGATCCATGAAGCACTCATACGAGGACTAAGTCTTTGAACCATTTATCATGTAATATCAGGGCTCTCACACCACTTTTTGGGACTGGGGCCAGGGCATTAAAATTTGGAAAATTAGCGACCTTTTGGGGAACTTTGTGAAAAATCATCATACAGTAAAACTCAACATATTTTCACTTTGTGTTTCTGGCGTTTGTTTTCAAATAAATTTCTGTTTTGCAATATGTACAGGAATGTGAGTAGCAAGTTTAGTTAGTATATATCCAAATATATGTTCTGAGTAATGACTTTTATAAACTACATGTATAATAATGACTGTTTTGAAAATTAACACATTCAGTTTTTTATGGAGGGTGCCTTTTAAGCTCACCTGATCTGAAAGCTCAAGTGAGCTTTTCTGATCACCTGTTGTACGTCATCCATCCATCTGTAAACTTTTCACATTTTCAACTTCTTCTCAAGAACCACTGGGCCAATTTTTACCAAAGTTGGAACAAAGCATCCTTGGGTGAAGGGTAGTTTAAATTGTTAAATGAAGGGCCAAGCCCCCTTGCATGGGGAGATAATCAAGAAAAGACAAAAATAGGGTGGGGTAATTAAAAAATCTTCTTCTCAAGAAAAGGCCAGAAAAGCTGAAACTTATATGGAAGCATCCTTGGATAGTGTAGATTCTAAATTGTTCAAATCATGACCCCAGGAGTAGGGTAATGGGGAATCAAAGTTTTACATTTAAGGAATGAAGCTTATTTTAAGTTTTACATATAAGGAATGAAGCTTATTTTAACCTATGTTATATGATATAACATAACTTGGGGCAGTTTACGCTTTCTAAACCGCAAAGCAGTTTATAAAAAAGCGTAAACTGCCCCAAGTTATGTTTTATCGTATAACATAGGTTAAAATAAGCTTCATTCTTTATGATTTAATTTCAGTGTAGACAATAAGACAATTTTTCCTCCAAAAATGGCTTTAAATTGAGCATATTTTAAAAGTAACATCAAGCGGAGTACCGTAATACGTTTTTGACATAACTCATTGTGATGTAGGCAACTTATGTTATACGATATAAATGAAATCTTTTATCCAATCAAATGACGTGTTATAACTAAAATTAAATTATTGAAATATAATGGAAAAATCTTTAAATATTTTCTTCTCAAGACCACTGGGCCAGAAAAACTGAAACTTTTATGGAAGCACCCTGGGGTAGTGTAGATTTTAAATTGTTCAAATCATGACCCCCATAGGTATGGTGGGGCCACAATACATATTACAAGGGGAAAATCTGGTGAAGAACAGTAGGGCCAAAGTTAATCAGGTGAGCCTGGTGGCCCATGGGCCTCTTGTCTGAATTAGGAATGGGGCCTTCAAGTTTCAACATCTGAAATTATAGACAATGAGAGCCCTGAATGTAATTATTGAGTGTTGTGTTAAAGTATGAGATATAATTATATGATTTTGTTATTTTTCCTAAAACAGAAATGAAGAAAAAACTTCTGATTAATTGTTTTAATGCTCATCTGGCTGTGTTTTATGGATCATCTTCTTAAAGGGTTTTTATCAGACGTCTAAACTTCTTAAAACTTTAACTCAATTATATTCTTCTTAATACATATTATTATCATTTTACCATTTAATTAGCTTGAAAATAGTTGTAATTAAGTGATAAAATGCCCATAATTCAGGGTCCTCTCAGTAATTATCTCCACTAATTAGATAGGAATAGCTCATCATTAGGATAAATACAACAAATAGATTGGGCTTTAAGTAAATCAGCTATACAGTATGGATGTTTGAAATTATGACTTCGATGGTATGCCTTTTGGTAATGAGCATTCAATCTTGAACAGACTTGCCTATCTTTATGCTTTTGACACATTTCTTCCACTTTTTATCACAAAATTACACTATTATGCCTTTGAAAATAAATTTTGTGCTTAAAAAATGTTAACCTTAAAAATTACGTTACTTAGAAGTTCTATTTAATGAATGACTTATATTTGAGCTTAAGTACTAATATGCATATTATTAGTAAATGCACAGACAAAATCTGTAAAATAATTACAAGTTAAAGACGTTGCAGATGTTTTAGAGAACTCATGTCAGTATATATGGTTTTAAAAAATTTAACGCCCTTTTTAGCTCTACTGGTCAGAGACCAGAAGAGCTTATGCGATGGTAAGGTGTCCATCGTCCGTCCGTCTGTCTGTCTGTCTGTCTGTAAACAATTTTTCAAAACGCTACTCCTCCTACAGATTTGGTCTGATTTCAATATAACTTAGCACACAAGTAGACCACATTAAGTTACAAAATTTAGTGCATCGGTTTTTGATTTTGATGAACGGTGTTGCCATGGTTACTAAAAATAGAAATTTCTGTGATATTCCTTTAAAACGCTACTCCTCCTACAGTTTTGGTCTGATTTCGATATAACTTGGCACACAAGTAGACTACACTAAGATACATAATTTAGTGCATGGGTTTTTGATTTCGATGAACGGTGTTGCCATGGTTACTAAAAATAGAAATTTCTGTGAAATTCCTTTATAACGCTACTCCTCCTACAGTTTTGGTCTGATTTCAATATAACTTGGCACACAAGTAGACTACACTAAGATACATAATTTAGTGCATGGGTTTTTGATTACGATTAACGGTATTGCCATGGTTACTAAAAATAGAAATTTCTGTGATATTCCTTTAAAACGCTACTCCTCCTACAGTTTTGGTCTGATTTCAGTATAACTTGGCACACAAGTAGACTACACTAAGATACATAATTTAGTGCATGGGTTTTTGATTTCGATGAACGGTGTTGCCATGGTTACTAAAAATAGAAATTTCTGTGAAATTCCTTTAAAACGCTACTCCTCCTACAGTTTTAGTCTGATTTCAATATAACTTGGCACACAAGTAGACTACACTAAGATACATAATTTAGTGCATCGGTTTTTGATTTCGATGAACAGTGTTGCCATGGTAACTAAAAATAGAAATTTCTGTGAAATTCCTTTAAAACGCTACTCCTCCTACAGTTTTGGTCTGATTTCAATATAACTTGGCACACAAGTAGACTACACTAAGATACATAATTTAGTGCATGGGTTTTTGATTTCGATGAACGGTGTTGCCATGGTAACTAAAAATAGAAATTTCTGTGAAATTTGTTTAAAACGCTACTCCTCCTACAGTTTTGGTCTGATTTCAATATAACTTGGCACACAAGTAGACTACACTAAGATACATAATTTAATGCATCAGTTTTTGATTTCGATGAACGGTGTTGCCATGGTTACTAAAAATAGAAATTTCTGTGAAATTCCTTTAAAACGCTACTCCTCCTACAGTTTTGGTCTGATTTCAATATAACTTGGCACACAAGTAGACAACACTAAGATACATAATTTAGTGCATGGGTTTTTGATTTCGATGAACGGTGTTGCCATGGTTACTAAAAATAGAAATTTCTGTGAAATTCCTTTAAAACGCTACTCCTCCTACAGTTTTGGTCTGATTTCAATATAACTTGGCATACAAAAAGACTATACTAAGATACATTATTTGTTGCATCAGTTTTTGATTTCGATGAACGGTGTTGCCATGGTTACTAAAAATAGAAATTGCTGTGAAATTCCTTTAAAACACTACTCCTCCTACAGTTTTGGTCTGAGTTCATTCTAATTTGGAACACAATTAGAATACACTACGATACATAATATGTATTTTGGTTTTGATTTCAGTGAATGGTGTTGTCATGGTTACTAAAAATAGAAATTTCTGTGAAATACTTTCAAAATGCTACTCCTCCTACAGTTTTGGTCTGATTTCAATATAACTTGGCACACAAGTAGACAACACTAAGATACATAATTTAGTGCATGGGTTTTTGATTTCGATGAACGGTGTTGCCATGGTTACTAAAAATAGAAATTTCTGTGAAATTCCTTTAAAACACTACTCCTCCTACAGTTTTGGTCTGAGTTCATTCTAATTTGGAACACAATTAGAATACACTACGATACATGATATGTATTTTGGTTTTGATTTCAGTGAATGGTGTTGTCATGGTTACTAAAAATAGAAATTTCTGTGAAATACTTTCAAAATGCTACTCCTACAGTTTTCTTTTGATCTCAATATAACTTGGCACAGAAGAAGAATACATTAAGATACACAATTCTATTTATTGTTGCATTTTGCAAAGTTTCAAATCCAAGTGCTACTTTGTTATACATACAGACCAGTAGAGCTACAGTCTCATCAGAGACTTCTGGTTATATGATATACAACATAGAGTTCAATTTAGATTATATAGAACTTCATTTAGACATCAAAATAGGAAAACAGGAGGAAGTATACCTTTAATTGTCTCTGAAATCCCTGCAAAATGAAGTTTTGAATTAATTAAACCTCTCCAATGAAAAGGGTAGGCAGGTCTGCTTTAATGTTCTCTGGACTTTCAAAGAGAGAACAATTTGATATATTTTGACTTCATAATTATTTTGAGTTATGAGTAATTTAAGTTCCCCTTTATTCAGTATTTAAATAATTAATCTTCAAATAGATTCTTTAAAGCAGTTATCTGTTTCAGTTTTGAATATCATGTACTAGAAATTCCACTTCTTCAGTGGCACTGTAAGCTATTACAAACTCTATACTAGACTGTGTATGACTTCTTAATGCATGTCGGATAATTTCTGATGAGATACTATCTTCTTAAAAATTTTAAAAGCACAAAAAAATATTGTGGTCAGATCATAAATGATGATTTTGAATAGGGACAAAGCTTTCGTGTTTGCAAATAGGACCCCTTTTTAGCTCACCTAGCTAAAGGCTCAAGTGAGGTTTTCTGATCAATATTTGTCCAATGTCTGTCATTGTCATCATCATTTTTTGTAAACTTTTCACATTTTCAACTTCTTCTCCAGAACCACTGGGCCAATTTCAACCAAACTTGGCATAGAGTATCCTTGTTGAAAGGAATTCAAGTTTATTCAAATAAAGGGCCACTGTAAATCTCTTCCAAGTGGAGATGATTAAGAAATAGTGAGTCGGGTCATTTAAAATTCTTCTCATCAAGAACTACTGGGCCAGAAAAGATGAAACTTATGTGAAAGGTTCTTGTCATGTCTAGATTCAAGTTTGTTCAAATCATGACCCATGGGGAAAGGATGGGAACGCAATGGGCAATCAAAGTTTTAGGAATATACAGAAAAAATCTTTAAAAATCCTTTTTCAAGAACAGCAAAGCCATGATTAGTGATGTCTGTATGGAAGCATCCTCATGTAGTGTGGATTCAAGTTTCTTCAACCCATGACCCTTAGGGGTAGGGTGGGGCCACAATATGTGATTTACGTTTCACATAGGAATATTTTAGGAATGACTCTAATTCTTGGCCAAATTATTTGAGTATAACCTGGTTTGGCTTCGCGGATTATAAAGCGTAAACTGACCCAAACCAGGTTATACTCAAATAATTTGGCCAAGAATTAGAGTCATTCCTTATAATTTAATTTTAAAATCATTAAATAACTATGGGTGTAAAATTTCGTTGCATTTTATTAGTTCAAATTTGCCGCTCAATAATACAACGATAGTAACGGAAGTGATGGGAAGCGAGGGGAGGTAAAAACTGATACATAGGCCTATCAGCCTTGTTGTTTGTTTATTGTTTGTGGTAAGATCGAATTATTGTTTGAAGTTAAAGGTACATTTATTAAATCTGGAATTTTCCATGAATCCCGAGGACTGGAAATGAGAGGATTGTATGCATACAGATGATTCAGCTGGTTGTCAGGGGTGTGTGTTCCCATACCAAACCAGGTTATACAGAAATAATTTGTGTTCCTTTTTGGATATTAACCAATCAGACGCTAGAATACAAACAAAATTTAATTATATAGGTATAAAAAAATCTGATGATGAAGAACGGAGGGACCATTATTAATTAGTGACTCTGGTGAGCATTGTGGCCCTTGAGCCTCTTTTTAAAAGACATTTCTTTGAATTCAATAATTGAGAAAACCTTTTGTCAGGGGAAATGATGTGAAGTTGACAAAATGGATAAATTGGAACAGCACTACACTGAATTCTCAAAAGAGAAGAAGATAACATATTTATTATCTTGTTAATTGATTTAACTGAAATGTATCTTTTTACAGTATCACAGTCAGCATTGCAGAAGAAAGAGAGAGGTTGAGAAGGGAATCAGGACTTGGTGGTACACAAGGATGTCAGAAAGACTTTCTCGAAAAATCAGGTTAGTTTCTGTTTGTTTCTTTCTTACTCTCAGACCATCAAATGGTATGTGAGATATATGAATATACAAAATTAATACAAGTTCAAGTAAGGTAGAATAGTATAAAATAATAGAGTATTACTGAAAACAGGCCAATATTTTTTTTAACAAATAAAAAACAAGCTTTTAATTTAAATCAACATTTGTGGTAGACAAAAGAATATCAAATTTATGAGTATTTATATGAGTACAATATTTCTTATCAATATGTTTTCTACATAATGAAGATAAAATGGACACTCCATTACATAGTTGAATTGTCAACCAAATAGTATCTATCAAGTAAAGGATATATTCTTAATGTCTGTCTATATCAATCCATCTACTAGTTTTGAATGTAAGTCTGTGATTACAAGTCTAAATTTTGTTAGCTTAATTCTTAAATCTTTTGGGAGTTTATTGAGGTACATTTCTTGCGTAAAACTGTAGTTAATTCCTGTAATTTAAGTATTAAGATGAGTGTTCTATGCTCACAAACCGGTCTTGTAAAAATTGATTTAACAATATTGCTTTAATGATAGATTTTAACCATGTAATACATATACTTCAAAAACTTTGATTCATTCACACATATGACAAACCACACGAGTTCAAAATATCTCTTTCACATTTCATCCATAGGTGCTTAAATGATCCTTTAGGAAAGCATTAATTTCATAGAAAAAAACTAAACATTATGCATGTAAGCTGTTCTGTCAGTATGGACGTTGCAGTATTTCAGACTTAACAGCAAAAGATTACCAAGCAGAGATTACGAAACATCAGAATTTGTACCAGAAACAACTATTTTGCCATAGCAACCTATCGGACTCAAAATACTTTGGGGCTAATTACATCTTATTTGCTCGTGTCCTGTCAATTGGTGTTTATGGTGAATATATCATTTAAATAAATGTTGCACTGTTGCAGATGAGAAATCTCCAAGACGTGAAGGAACTGCTGTTTTCCAAGGAAAGGACCTTAGACAGATGAGTGTTGAGAATAGAAAACTGCTTGCAAATGAAAGGTATTGTTTTCTTAGATTTGTCACTACAGAGCATCTTGTTTGATCTGACAGTCTTATTTCGTTTTTTTATGAAATATTTCTTCCTTTGCATCGATTTTTTTCAGTTTCTTGAATTTTTGCATGAGATGAATTTACTAGTATCTTGCAGATGTGTCAAAGGCATTAGAATTTACATAGTTGATTTATACATCACTACTATCATAACGAACAGGAACTTAAATCAGTTTTTTCCTTTTTTGGTAAATTTTTAGGGATGCAATTGGCTGACACATGCTGCATGTGAAATTCTATGAAAATAGTACATTGCACACTTTGTGAAAATAAATAATATCTGTTTTTAATTTTTTTTTTTCAATTTCTTAGAACAGTTAATATTTCAACACATTTTCTATAACTGTAATTATAATACAGAATCCTTCTTATCTCAAACTCAATGGGATCAAGAGAAAATTTGAAGATATTGGAGGGTTCAAGATATTCAGCATAAATTTCATGAAGAAAGTGTGGTTGGGACATCCAATTCACGACATATCCATGGTCTTCAAGATATCAAAGTTTGAGATAGTGAAGTTCGACTGTAGTGTAATATAATGGCAGTTGCTATTTCAAATTTTATAAGCTAAATTTAATCTTAAGGATGTGCAGTTGAGGAATAAGTGGTTATAACTGTGTCTATGAACTATAAACACTTAAATAGACCAGGCAAACATTGGGAATTGTTGAACTGCTTGTATAACATTGTCAGCCACTAATATTAATAGAAGTAATAATCTTACATCCGACTTTAAGCCAGGGGCAAAGGTCACAGGTTTACCTCAGCTGGTTTGCCATTAATTTGCATTACATGTACATACTTCTTAGTCATAATATATCATCTGACTTATACATGTTTAACTATTTCTTTAAAAAACTGTTATTATGTTAGTTCTTGAAGCAAAGAGGGAGAAAGAAAAATCATAGAGAAAGTTTAAATCTATTTTAAAGTTTTGTGGAATGTAAATTCAAATTTTTTGCAATTTTGAATTTCATATTTTTAATAAGGTTGTCAATTTTTACAAGAAATCCATGGTTCAACTGCATGTGTTTTAAACTAAGTTTATATCAATAGCATAAATGATGTTCATTCTTCTTCTTCATTAATCCAAGAAGTACACATGCTACTTTTCTTCAATATCTTAGTAAAAAAAAAAATTCAATAAAAAATTATTGTTAAAACTAGTGAAAGTTATTAAATAAAGACTTTGAACAGTGTTATCTTGAAAAAAAAAAGTTCATTTTGAGACAAACCATTGAACAGGTCTATATACTAGTATACAGCTATTTTGTATATGTCATACAAGCTATTCATTTCCTTTATGTCAAATCTTTGAATTTTTGCAAATCACCCAAAACTTACATGACTTATACATCATGAAAAAAGCCTTTAATACATTGTCTGCATGCAACAAAAATATTCTAACAGTGTGCTAAGAGTTGTATCCAAATTTTCATCTCATCTCTTATATCTCTCAACGCATGCTTTATTTGCAAGGTTGATGATTGTGTCAAAAAAGAAAACCCCCCTCGTTTTGTCCTCCACCTTGATGTACAGTCGTAAAGCGCAGATTCGCAGGTAGGTCATCCCTAGTTCAAGGTTGAATAAACATGTATCATATCTGCAGTTATGCATCATTATTAAACTGTCTGTTCACCATATATAAAATTGTAATATTTTATTTGCTAGAAATTGATAATGTAAATTAAAATAGATTGCTATTCTTAGACATTTCTCTGCATTTTTACTTGCATCTGTTATATATATGCTTGGTACACAGTAGTTCTGAGAAAATTGAATCACCTCATTTACTTATAAATGCCTTGCTTTTACTTACATGGCTTTTTTTTTTGTTGATAAATTAGTATTTCTATAATTTTCTTTTAAAAATAAAGCTTTTAAAACTGCTAGCTTAAACACATTTGTGAAGTAGATTTTAAAAATGAAGTACCAGTAGGGCATAAATGGTATTTTTGGTCTTTTTCTTCATTATGACAGAATATTTTTCAGAGATGAGGAGAATTTTGCCAGAGCCCGTACTGCATCAGGGTCCAAGTCAATGTCTCAGGAGGGACTGCTGTATCTAGGTCTGCATGCTGTGGGGAAAGTGGAGGAAGGACAGGTAGGGTTCACAGCAGTTTTATATGTACTTGTAACACCCCCTCCCCTTCCAGAAAACTGAAGATGGGGCTTTTTTTGTCCACTACATGTATTGTGGTTGTAACCTTCAAATTCAATAAGACAGAGACCTTTCTTCATCTTTGGATATGTCGAATGCCTTTTCTATGTACTTTTGTATTAGGTCATGGTCACATGCAGGCTCATAAATGTTTCTATTGTTACCAAAACTAAACCTGGAACCTTAGATTCACTAGAATTTATCCTTTTTTAGCTCACCTGAGCTGAAAGCTCAAGTGAGCTTTTCTGATCACCCGTTGTCCGTCTGTCCGTCCATCTGTAAACTTTTCACATTTTCAACTTCTTCTCAAGAACCGCTGGGCCAATTTTAAACAAACTTGGTACAAAGTATCCTTGGGTGAAGGGGAGAGTAAATTATTAAAATAAAGGGCCAAGTCCCCTTACAAGGGGAGGTAATCAAGAAAAGACAAAAATAGGGTGGGGTCATTAAAAAATCTTCTTCTCAAGAACCACTGGGCCAGAAATGCTGAAACTTATATGAAAGCATCCTTGGGAAGTTTAGATTCTAAATTATTCAAATCATGATCCCCGGGGGTAGGGCGGGGCGACAAAGAGGGAATCCAAGTTTTACATTGAAATATATAGGAAAAATATTTAAAAAATCTTCTTCTCAAGAACCACTGGGCCAGAAATGCTGAAACTTATATGGAAGCCTCCTGGTATAGTGTAGATTCTAAATTGTTCAAATCTTGACTCCTGGGGGTAGGGTGGGCCAAAGTAGGGATTCAAATTTTACATTGAAATATATAGGAAAAATATTTAAAAGCCTTTTTTTTAAACCACTGGACCAGAAAAGCTACAACTTAAATGGAAGCATCCTTGGGTAGTGTAGATTCTAAATTGTTCAAATCATGACCCCCCGGGGGTAGGGTGTGACACAATACATATTACAAGGGAGAAAATCTGGTGAAGAACAGCAGGGCCAAATATACTCAGGTGAGCGTTGTGGCCCATGGGCCTCTTGTTTATTGCAGATTAATAGATCTTTGCTTGCTGATTTAATATTGAATAAAGATCAGCAGTATTTGAATGGAAAGAATTCAGTTTTATTAATATTTTCATAAAAAAAAAATAAATGCTTATAATTTATAGGATATATCATATGCTGATTTTCTGGTTCCCTCCAAGACCCACCTGAGGAGGGTTTCATCTGAGAAGGGACCACTGAATGCCATGGAGACAACTCACCTGAATCAAAATCTTACACCAGGTAAAGAAAAAGTTACAAAATCTCCCTCAAATATATATATTTTTAAATTCTAGATGTTCAAGTCTTCTACTACCTGCAGAATTTGCTTGATTTAGTTGCTTCCTACCTACTGGCATACAAGCATTGTTTAAGTTTTTATCTGATTCAGATGTACTCTCAAGTTTAAAACATGTATTAGCAGAGTTTGTTTAATATGATATAGATATACATTCAAGCGTAACACCAGTATTTAATTATATTTCCCCCAGTACTTTATTATATTTCCCATAGTACATGTACTTTTATTGTATTTCCCCCATTGGTAGACACAGGTAGGTAATTAGACATGATAGACTCAGGAACAATTATTTTCCCATTCTAAGTGACCAATCCCTTTTTGCATTACAATAAAATACTCTCATAGTGCCAGGAGCAAACATCTTTGATTCATTGTTAATGTACATTGTAATTTGTTATATCTGTTAAGTTCATTATACATTTTAAAACTATGAGGAATACAAATCACTTTTTTTTCAAAATGTAATATTGTCTTAGCCTCTTGTTTTGAAGTATAATGGAATTCATGACATGTATGTAGAACTGATCAGGGATCATGTGTGATAAGGATCTGCTAATTCCCTCCCACAAATGATGTTGATGAATTAACTAGGGTGTAAGCATAAAGGAAAAGTAAAAAGGTCACTAGCTATTTTTGACCATATAACATGCTTTGATCTTTGAAACCTTTGGGAAAAAAAGCTAAAATATATGTAATTGGATTGTCAGCTGTTACAATTCTTTTTTTAACTTCAATTTTACAAAATATTTCCCAGTACAAAGATAAATAAAGATCATTTCAGAATCGATATAACTGAGTCTTAGAGTTGATGCACTCGCTAGCCAGTAATGGATTTGCTAATAACATACATTTAACACACAATTACAGAATGCCATAGTGTCAAACTGTCAATAGATTTATGTAAACATAACAAAATATGATTTAATTGAGAACATACTGAGTTATGTACTTAAAGAAGTTCTATAAGGGATTTCATAATATATGAAGCAGGAAGAAAAATTGGTTTCACACTAATTATGGCTGTATATGCATTTACCAAAATTTTTAAATATTATGTGGATTTCTTTTTTGGAAGGGGGGGGGGGGGGTTAATTATTGATGATAGTGTGCGCATGTACTACATGTGAAATGAAATTTCTACAAAAGGCAGTTTTATTGGTCAAATTAGGTGTTATAAAGGTGCTTTATTGTCTTTTATATATTTTTTAATTTAAGAAAAAAATAATTATTTTCATTAATAACTTAGAAATCCTTCTACCAAAAATTTATAATGTGGTAAATGTATTATTAATCATTTAACCAAAACAGGAATTTTGAAATTCTACTGATGATAAATCATGATGAAGGAAAAGAAATATATGGAGGGAAACATAATTTTTTCTTTGAATCAACTGCATCTGTGATTTCATACAGTTTCCGTAGAGATATTAAAAGTGTCTTTATTAAAATAGCTCTAAATAAAGTTTTGGACCTATTTTAGTTGTAAATGATGCAGATATCAACTTTCTAAATTATTAAGAAATGGCAAACTCTCTATGATGTTCAAAATTCTATTTTTTTTTTTTTTTGCTGTCACCCTTATAAATCTATAAAACTTTTTATCACTTTATAGGACATTGTTGTGTAACTTAAAAACCTATGTGGCTTAACTTCTTCAATTACTTGTTTACACATGCCTTTAGTTGTTATTTTATGATTTTTGAAGAAGATTTGTTTGTATCATCTGTCCTTAAAACATATTAAAAACACCAGTAATCTATGAGCAATATAAATGTACAAGTGAAATCTGACAGGTCGAGAGCTGGCACGGAGTAGATCGCATGACCCCAATCTGCTCCTACATCGACCCTCCAACGCCCCGTCTCTGGAGAAAGGTATCAGAGTAGTAGAGAGGTGGTACAGATCTTCTTGTATGGGGAAATACATTTATCTAAAATTTTCACACGCACGAAAATAAACCTAATTTAAGTATACATTTTAAAGAGAGGAAATTGTTAATTTCAAGAGTTTCAGGAAATTAAAAATTTTAAATGAACCAAATTATCATTGATTTGAGATTTTAAATCATGAACCCTAATTTAAAGGCCTTCCTATATGGTTTATAACCATACAAGAAGATCTGCGGGGTTTAGTGTGCTTTAATTTGCTTCTGTAGTCCTGCCTTCCTTTAGACCATATATTTAGTTTTTTCTTGGTTCTTTATTTTAGTCCCTGAAGTTTTTAGATTAGTGTGTTTCTGATTAAAACAAAAACTTCATTATTTGTGTTTACTGTAAACCAATTATTATTTATGATTCTTTAGTTTGAAATCCATCCAAAGTAACTAATTTTCGCGACCGAGGCAATATTCTACATAAATACATAGGCAAGTAATTGGTTCACGAGTAAAAGAAGTTCGTGAAACTTGCGGATATTTCTTGCTCGCAAATAAAAGTTGGCTTACAGTATTCAGTTGATTTTATCTAGTGAAAGTGTAATTACTTATAAAAAAAATGTTATTTCTTTTACCATAGTTGTGATGTTCTCAATTTATTAATTATTTTGTAAAAACGAGAAGTGAACTTTTGTTAATGAAACATAAAACTTGTGAGAGTATTTTATTTTGAAAAAATCATCATCATTAAAGGTGCAATATTTCCACTTCCTTATGCAGTAACACAAGCCAATTAGCTTCATCAATTTAGCTTTTCTGATCACAGTGTGTTTATCATCTGCATATGTGTTCAGATATATATTTTATGAGACTAATGCAAGAAAGCATTTTTTCTTTTAATTTGTAGTGCCCTTTTCTTTTTTTTTTTAAATACAAGTTTATATTGGATTAATTAACGAGATAAAGAAGCTAATAAGTTCTGATACTGTAAATCACCAAATTTTTGAGACACTCTATTAGTTAAAGTTCAGGACTGAGGAAACATTTTGTATTAAAATTGATGGGTTAGGAGCAAGAAATATTAATAATTTTATTTGCTATTAAAAGAAGGTCAAAAAAGTTGGTTTACAGTATATATAATCTTTGATAATACAAACATGCACAAGACTGAAGTTATCGCAAATGTTCTCATGTAATTACACAAAAATAAAATTCTCAAAAATACAAAGTGATTTACAGTATTCTTCAGGTGAGTCCTGTGGTTAACAGACTTGTATTAAATTGTTTTTTGACAAGAACCTAATATTTTTCCCCTTTATTTGTTTGAAGTTATATCTGTAACACGTAACAATAATGTATGGGATCAGTTGTAGATTTAATACATAAACTGATAAATGTATTCTAATGTTTAAGTATTTTAAAATGTAATTAACTCTTCATCACTCTGTTCATATATTATAAGCTACATGTAATTGAAATTCTGTGCATATTTTTTGTATCTCCCTAGGAATGTGTATAATTTTTGACATTTAAAATGTTTCCAAAGTGCAACCATCTCAAACTGATGCATTTAATTTTAGGCCATAATCTCAAATATTAGTAGTTGCTGTGCTAGATTATAATGAACAAGCACATACTGCTTATGCATTATATATTACGCATGTGTCAGCAATTCATTTGGTAAATTGAAGAATATTCATGGGATACAATAAAGCATTTTGAGATTGAATGAAGTAGATATTTATATAATTGTCTAAATTTCTTTTCTGTCTTCTTATTTGTGTGTATTTATTTGTACAGTTCCAGAAGAGGCTATCCCACACCCTGATTGGTATGACCCAAACATACTTGATGACAGAGAACTTCAGTGTGGGAGCTACAAGACTCTCCTGACATTTTCATCATATGTGGTAAGTGGTTATACTGACATTTTCATCACATGGTAAGTAGTTATACTGACATTTTCATCATATGTGGTAAGTTGTTATACTGACATTTTCATCATCTGTGGTAAGTTGTTATACTGACATTTTCATCATATGTGGTAAGTGGTTATTCTATATTTGGAGTGATGGCCTGTTACCAGTTCTCCCTCCTTAAAGGCAAGGAATGTTACAGGCATCACCATATACTAAGTTTCCTTTAATATGAATGTCAATTTGATGCTTGTGGCAAGGTTGTTTTGACATATTCCGGTTTCCTATTGAAAGTTGTAAATTTTCTCTTACTAGATGGAAAAGTACCTGCAGATCTTTAGCTCACTGGTCTGAAAAAAATTGGGATGGAAGACCAGAGAGCTACAGTGCCACCCATCAAAAAAATTGTATATGTATTGCACACATAAAAAGTGTGCTGTTTCTTGATTTATTTCTCTGTATATATCAAAATATTACTAACTGTGTGTTCTTAATATATTTTTTTACTACTTCCACAACAAAACTGTACGTAAGTCATGTAAAAAGTGTGTTGGACCAAATTGTCTTGCCACCCAAAGAGCAGTATAAATAGGCGAAATTTTCAGTGATCTCAATTTTAGACCCAGGAGGGCTATTAACAACAGTTCTGGGGGAAATCTTATTGTGGAAGTAGTAAAAGAATACTGGTATACTAGGAATATGTGGTTTTTAATATTTTAAGATGGCAGCATAAATATTTTGAGAAAATAAATTGAGAAACAGTGCACTTTTGTGTGCACAATAGATATACAATTTTTTCAGTGGGTGGCACTGTAGCTCTCTGGTCATCCATCCCATTTTTTTCAAACCAGCGAGATACAGATCTGCAGCTAGATGGAAAAGTTGAAATCATTTGTTTCTTCAGACTAAATGTGACATATGTCTTTTTATCTAATTTTAGAAGTGAGAAAATTTTATTTCAAAGCTTAAAATTTTTTTCTAACAATTTCTTTGTTCTTCAAAATTTCTTTGTAGTAATATATTACATGCCATATGTTTACATTGTCCTCTTTTTTAGACATCAGTGATAGACTATGTAAAACCTTCAACACTGAAGAAAGAGATAAATGAGAAGTTTAAAGAAAAATATCCAGCCATTCAGCTGACCTTGACAAAACTTAGAAGGTCAGACAATCAAATTTTGAATGTGATTTTATGATATATGTGTAAATGTCATTAAATAGAAGGTGTATTTCATAAGGAATTATCATCTTGTTAAGTTTTCAACTTTCTACTTGTTTTACAGCCTTAAAAGAGAATTAAAAGTGATAGCAAATACAAAGGTAAGTACATTATGTTAAATTATTTGATCAATCAATTCATTTTTCTGAACTACATGTATTTTATAGATTTCTTTAACACAACAAAATTCTCCATAAGTCAAATATATACAGTTGAACTTCAGTATCTCGAACACGGATATCTTGAATACCATGGATATGTCGAAGTGATTTTGAAGTCCACACTGCTTATTCCCACAGGTACTTGTGGACAGGACCCCCCCCCCCCCCCCCCGATATTCAACCCCGGGGCTTGTTGGACATTTTTTTCTCAAATTATATTCATTGCACTTATTCATCATGTGTACCATAGGAAAAAATCGTGAAAACCCCAAAATAATTGTTCCACACAAAAAATACCCCACTTTACATTGTAAGAGAGAAGTGGGGTATTTTTTGTGTGGAACGATTATTTTGGGGTTTTCACGATTTTTTCCTATGGTACACATGATGAATAAGTGCAATAAATATAATTTGAGAAAAAAAATGTCCAACAAGCCCCGGGGTTGAATATCGTGGAGGGGGGGGGGGGTCCTGTCCACAAGTACCTGTGCTTATTCCTTATGTATTTTACCCTGGATATCTCGAATCCTCGGTTATCTCAAAGTATTTTCTCGGTCCCTTCGGGTTCGAGATAACGAGGTTTGACTGTATATGATTGGGAGTGTAGGGTATGTTATTTCAATATGTCATATTTTATTTTTCCAGTGTGGTTTGGACCTATGGATTGTTGCCCAAGCCTATGTATATTTTGAGAAATTGATCTTGAAGGTTTGTTATTATCTTTAAAAAATAATTCACAACTGTATGAATTTTAGTACAATGTACCTGTATTCAGTGATTGTCAGTAATATTTAATATGTAGTATGAGGGGTATTCATTCATTTGTTCGTGGTCTATTTCAGCTGATGATAAATAAACAGAACAGGAAGTTATGTGCTGGAGCTTGCCTTCTGTTGGCTGCCAAATTGAGTGATATCAAGGGGGCAGAGCTAAGTAAGCTCATTGAGGTGAGTAACTTAATCCATGATAAATTTTTAAAGAATTCATTATTTTGAAACATTCTTTCTTTCTTTTCTTTTATTTTGCCAATTAGGCAAGAATTTTTAGGGAAAAGGAGCATTTGATCTATATAAAATGATACAGGATGCATTTTTTGGAGGAGTGTTTTCTTTTTTCAGCAAATTGAGGAAGATTTTCGACTGCACAGAAAGGAGCTGCTGGTTTTTGAGTTTGCGTGTCTAGTGGCCCTCGAGTTCTCCCTACATATCCCTGACACAGAGGTGTTTCCCCATTATCAGAGACTTCTCTACCAGTCATGACCCAGGTCCCCTGACCCATCATCCCGGGACAATAACCTTGTGACCCATCACCTGAGACAATTCATCACAAACTCAGCAATTCAAGCTTATCTCAAAGGTATCAAATTTGACTCCGAAGTGCACACAAAAGTAAATTTTACATGGAGACAATGCCTGACTCAACTTGGCTTACTTATCAAGTCAATATCAAACTCGTATCACAGGCACTGCTAGCCCCTCTGTTCACTGGATACCACCAGGCTGAACTCGTTTCAAATTCAACTCCCAACTCAGTAAAAAGGACACCCAACTTGGTTAAGAGATTGTTTTATAATGTATCAAGCTAGCATCCAATTGCCTTCATTCAACCATATCCTTCAAAGCAATAGTAAAAAACAAGTACAGTCTCCATCTTTAATTTGAAATACATGTATATCCAGGTAATGACATTTTGGAACCTCTTTGTACCCATTCTTCATTTAGAAAAATGACTGCTTAATTATTTGATTTACTTGGAGATCATCACATTTTTATCACTCCAAACGGAAATGTTTGGTTAAGTGCGGTTCACAAATCACTGTTTAAATATCAATTCAAATATTTTTGTGCCCTGTTATCCTATCAGTATGTAATTTGTGCAACTGGGAAACATCCATTCTTAATGATCTGTTGTAATTTAGCTTTAATACCACACACATAAGTTACGGTAGTTTTTTAACTTGAATCCATAATCATATTGTACGTATACATCTGATATGTTACGTAATACAGACTTGGATTTTTCATTTTAGAAATTGAAAATATTTTTTGTATTATTTAGTTTTTTTGCATTTAAGTGCATAAGAGACAATGACGATTAACATTTCAAGTTTCAGATTATCAGTTGACTGTTTGAAATAGTTTTTGTCCACCACATTCCTGGGTTGTAAAACACTAAGTTTATAGTTGGATGTTGTTAGTAATTTTGATCTCACCATGGTATGAGCTGATAATTGTCTCATTTTATCAAACCAGTGTGTAATTTTACCATCATACTTCAAAGTTTTGTCATTTTTACATCGGCCTTAATTGTTTGGCAATAAGTACAATCATCTATAATTTTTTTTTTTTTTAAATCAAGAATGCACATATTTTGATATTGTTCAAAACAGAATAACAGTACTTTATCATTTATTTCAAAATCAAGAGTGTGCATATTTTGTTTAATTGCTATTATTAGACAGGATATAACCCCTGTTTGGTGGCATTATGTAGCAATCTTGTTATGTGAGAATGTCTTCGACCTTTGTTGGCTTACAAGGCCAGCAGGCTCTGGTCAGTGTTTGCTTTCCATGCAATAACACAAAATTTAATGTATAATTCTAGTAAAGGTAACAATATGCACTCTTTCCCATTTTTTTTAACTACATGTATTTTTATCCAGATATATGTTAATGAAATATTTAATGATGGCATTATCAAAACCATTCAAAATTTCTCACAACGTAAACATATACCTGTATTTAGCATGTCGTACAATGTCACAAAAAAACAGATTCATGCCCTAATTGTCTGAGCTAAAGGGGTCAGTAGGTCAAATGGCCAGTGAGGTCAAGGAGGAAATGTGCATCCAATCGTATATGATAGAGAGTTGCAGATGTAGCCCATGAGATCATTGTCATGTACATGCTTTATTATAATTTCATATTGAAATGAACAAAGACTTGATTATTTTGTTTCTATAAATGTCAGATTGTAAATATTGCGATGTAATGGAGTTGAATATTTTGTTATTTACATGTTGTGTGTACACTTTTTTGTGTAATTCATGTTAAATGCAAATAGGGCCAGCTTAAGAATCATGGATGATATTTTTTTTGTCCGTTTGTTTTTGTATGTAGAGTTAATGTCCTTTTATCAACTGTATGTAGAGTTATGCCTTTTTATCAACAATTCACTGATTATTTTTTTATCATTTTTTTTAAAAGCTACATAAATAGGATTGACTGTTTAGGATCTCAATAGAACAAAAATTTAATAATTTTAAAAATACAAATAGCTTTTTCAGCTTTAATACCATTCCAGCTAACAAAAAAAAAAAAAGAAATGCATTTCCTTTTTCACAGGGCTGTAACCTTTTCTCAGTACATATATACTAGAATACAAGTACATGTAAACTAACAAAATAATGATAACATATGAGTTTATTTATTATTGCCAAACAGAGATTTTTTATTGTAAATGTGATAGATGTGAAAAAACTAATTGCCATATTAATTAATCACTCAAATGATCTCAAGATATCTGATTAGATCAGTATGTAAATATAATTTATTTTTGAAAAAGAAGAGAAATGAAAATTTAATAGATATACAATAGAAATAAAGAAGAAGATTGTTTAATATTATTTTATCTTACTGCCATATATATTTAGGGTAGGTATGTAATGTTTTAGAAATACGAGACAGAGTACAAATTTACCGTAATTGCTCATGTCAGGTATGTTTAATATATTACTATTTAATATCATTGTTACTTAGAAATCTTCATATATCCCCCTTCAGTACTCTAGATATGATACTAAATTTTACTAATGTTTAAATATATGTACTCTTAAGAGAGAGAGAGAGAGACTGAGTCTTAATGTGTTATCCTTTCACATGCTTCACTGAATGATGTAATATTGCATGTCAAAGGTGAAACAGCATACTATTGCATATTGAATAATGTAAACAACTCATATTGAAGGACGTCAAATAACATATTGAAAGGTTTAAATTAACATTGAAAAGCATAAATATATAACATTTATATGCATATGTATTAAAAAGTTTGCTAGTCCAAATAGTGCTTGCTTATAATGTGCTCTTGTGTATTTATTCTCAGGAAAAAAAAAACATACTCTAGCATACTGTATTTGTACACTTTAACATTCACATAGACAACTCTTTGCTTAATACATATTATATACAGTTAGTCAGTTACATTAATTCATTTTCAAAATGACTAGCAAAAAAATGCTCTTTTAGGAAACAAAATTTTCCTTTGCTCAATGAGTGAAAAAAGTCATTTCCTGTGATAGTGTGCTATTTATTGACGAGTGAAGTATATTATAACCATTATTTACTAATCAATTAAAAAAAATGGAAAAATTTTATATTGATAGTGAAGGGGGGGGTATGGCACATGTGTGTGTGTGGGGGGGGGGGGGGGGGGGGGTGATGGCTTGGCTGTTAAAATACTTTAAAATATTCTCTTTCTCATTTTTTCATTCAAGTAACTTTTTATTATATCATATTTATATTTTTCATATTGATAAACAATATTTTTTCCTTTTGCGTTTCTTGTTTACTCATCACTGTTCATGTGATCAAACATACCAATACCGGTAATTAACTCTCCCTGCTATGCATTTTTGCTGTACCGGGTATGTGGGTTAAAACTGAAGATATCTTGCAAAAATCCTTTAAAATTTTTCATTTTCAGATTATATGTCTCCATTGTATGTAGACTATATTTCAAACATCAAAATTAGTGCATTTAATATTTAATAATTGATATACCGTTATATAACAACACAGTCAGGGAGGTCCCCATTAAGGGCTGTCAAAGGAATTAATTTACAACTGTACTGCAAGGAATACCAGGGTATATTAATGCTTTCAAGAAAGATTTTTTTCTTTCCAATACCAACAGGGGATAAATGCTTTAAGTTAAGTAATCAGTTATAAAAAGCATATAAAATGTATAAGGTTTCTGTGTAGGATATTTTTTTGTTTTTTTTTTAATCGAGATGTTCCGTTCATAAGTTGTATCATCCATGAATAAATGTTAAGGTTATTAAACATTAAGATCATAGAACAAAAGGATCGTATATTTTCATTATTATACATACTCCATTTACTTCAGGAATGTTATGATGAGTTTTTATTTGAATTATGAGAAATAATATACGTACTTTATGGGAGGACTATACAGTGTTACATATGATGTTTTGCATTATGTATGTGTAAAGTTCCTGTGCTTGTTATTAGTCATTGATTACGGTACACTTCAAGCTGTGCAGTTGTGTGACCAATAAAGTTGACCAATTAAAATTTTGGGTTCAATTTCTTTATTGTTTATTTCTTTTTTTTTTTTTTTTTTTTGCTGTTAATCAAAGTAGTTCAATATTTTACATTACACCGAGTCTACTGATGCCAGTATGAAAGCAATTCATATTAATTCGTGATAGAGGCAGGTATCTGGTATCAGTTGTATACAGTTATCATTGATGAGATTCACCACATACATGTATAATCATACACTTCTGTCCGAGTACTGTGAGTTTATATGAAGTTCAAATGTTCCAGTGGAACAATAGAACATACTGTATTCTCACTTTTCCAACATTGGTACTTGTGACGGCATGGTTGATCAGTACCTAAGCCTCTGTGGACACAGTATGCTGCATAGGACAGCACTGAAGAATTGTAAGTTCCCAATGTTTTATTCCTGTGAAGTTTGGTGTACCGCCATGATCCTGTGAGTAGGGTAAAAAAATGTGACATTTTTTTGTACAGCTAGCACATAGCACTTGTACGGATTTAACTATTATCTTTCCACTTCTGTCTTTACTCTTTGTGTACAGCCAGTACATATCACATGTATGGGTTTAACTATTATCTTTCCATTTCTGTCGGTACTCTTTGGTGTTGTACTGATCAGATTGTAAATCACCCGTACAGTCCGAGAAGGTGACATACAAACTTTTATCCCGTACTGTTACTCTATGAAGGCGCTGTTTTTGGCCACTGCTTTTCCACACAGGGGGTTTCTTAGGATTATGAGGCTCTATTGACTATAAATCATATAGTGAAAATATATGTTATGTTAAAGTTTTGCCAATGAAATTCATATCTTTATTTTTTATACATAGTTATATAAATTCCTTATAACATACCTGGTACATCATGTTGCCAGTCTCTATGTGGACTTTGTATTTGTGCCATGGACAAACCAAGCAAGATAGCCCATTGAAGTCCTGGAAAGATAAAACTAGTACATGTATTCAATGTTAAGATGATATCAATGTTTTGGCTCTTTTTTAAAAAAAATATCTTCAATCAATTCTCTTAAAAAGGTTGTAATTGCATATTTATCAATCCACTGCCATACAAAAATCTAAAAAAAAAAAAAAAAAGAAAGAAAATGTGGTGATTTTACCTCAATATCGCCCATGTATAGGGGTCCTCCTGCATCTAAAATAGAAAACAAATGCAGTTTAATATCATGCAATATCAAGGATTAATGAAAAACCAGAATTTTACACTTGACAAAAGAATGATAATGACTCACGATAACAAAAGCTATCTAGAGCAAAAAAGTTCCCTTGTTGAATGATCACAATGTCATGGTCATGCACTTGAAATCTCTTCTTTGATGTGTGTTGAAACTCATCCACTTTGCAAACAAAACATTCCTACAAGAAACAGTTGACACATATAATTCAATCCACTGAGGAATAGAATATTTGCACTTGTAATGTTTGTATATACATGTATCTACAATGATAAACACAGCTCAAGTCCAAAGACTATTTCTACATACGTAGCTACTTATAGCTACCTAGGTATTTGAACCTACTCCAGGTATCTATTTTTACCTACTTTTTCCTTTATTTTCATTTCATAACCAAACGATGTAAAATGTTTTACAAATCTGTATCAGTTATAAAAATTATCATCATGCATTTTTAGATAAAATGTTTTTGGGATGATTTTCATGCATTTCTTCTCCATTCTCCACCCAGTAAAGTTTTCAAATAAATACCATGATTTTGCTGTGCAAGTGCATAAGATGATAAACAACAAGTCTGGCCTGTTTTTAAGATGAGCCTTAATCATTATTTAATTTTATTTTCAAAAACAGGTAAAAATAGGTAGAAGTAGCTACTTCAAGTAGGTAGAAATAGTTTTTAGACTGGACCTGATACAATTATGTATGTCTTTAAAAAATGTCAAAGATGCCTGGCTAAGTTTATTTTTTGATACACAGTTACTGGTATTTACTATTTATTAACATAAAGGGTTTTACAGATTTAGCCGCAGGTCTGCAGGTCAATGGTCTGAAAAAAAAGTTGATGGCTAGGCAGTGTCCATCCCAATATACGGATACAAGCCAAATTCACCTACATATATGCGCATTACGTCCCTCTAAGTACTGTGAAATTTTTACAAGTTTCATAATATACATCCTCGCAAGCCAGGGGTCCTGAGTCAAACACATTTGGACCAACGGTAACGTGTTGACTCCCTGGCTTGCGAGGATGCATAATATAGGGCCTGTTATAGGAAATGATTAGTAAAGTATACAGGTATACATACATATTAAGGTAGCTAAACACAGTTTCGTATAAAATCCAGGGGGTTTTCCTCAGAGAAAAGCATGATGGGTAGGGATTTCCCTGCTATTTTTATGCAGTGTACATGAAAATTGCAGCTTTTTTATTTTTATTTGCATAAAGTAGAGTCTTATCTTAAGATTAAATGAAAAAAGTATACAAATATTTTTTGAGAATTATTTTTTGTGTGACTTTTTAATAGTGGGAGATAACTCTAAAATCACCCATTTTTCACATGTGCAGAATTGCATGATTTGAGTAGCAGGTAAAGTAGCTCTTTAAAAAGCTGGAAAATATACCCTAAAAGTACAACAAAAAGAAACCTAAGGACTTGCTCTGTTAAATGCAAGGCACTTATATTTTCTGATTTCTGCGCTGTTTGTGATCAAGGGAGCTAAAAATGCATAGGTGTACTACAATTAGACGCATAAACTTCCCTATTTCCCCCATGTTTCATGTGTCAAATACACCTTATTGGTAAGTGATAAACAGGTCCAGGAAAATCACTATATTTAGCTATATAGCTTAATTTACCTATATAGCTTTATTTACCTATATAATATAGCTTTATTTAGCTATTTTAGAATAAGTTTCTGTTTTATGAAAAGCAAACAAAAAGTCGCATGAAAATTATGGCTGATATTTTTTTAAAAAGGTTTGATAAAAACAACCTAGGGCATAGATAGTAAAAATATTGCCTCTTTTAAACACTTTTTAACCAAAAAATGCATCTCTATTGTTTGGATAGCTGTCCAATACTGGAAGTGCGATGAGGCATGACTAAGTGTGATTGCCTTGCATTGTGCTGAATTATTACCAATCAATTATCTTGTTGACCAAAACTGCTTTTCTTTGTTAAAGTAGCTGCTTATTCACAGATTAACTGTTATAAATAGCCCCAAAACTTTTAGATCTTTGATTGCAATTGCACAAAAGGAGAAACATTTTTAAAAGTGGGTTTTTGGTGAATTGTTTTCAGTCCATTTCAAAGTTGAAAACTAATACTGCCTTATTATGCGACTTTTTGTCTGCTTTTCATAAAACAGAAATTTACTCTGAAATAGCTAAATAAAGCTATATAATATAGGTAAATAAAGCTATATAGGTAGATTTAGCTATATAGCTAAATATAGTGATTTTCCTAGACCTGATAAATGCAATATATTTATAAAATTCACAATTCTATCTTTCTATTGATATATAGATGTCTATGTAGCAAGTCTTCATATTATTTCTTGATGGGGGTCACTTTAGCATGTCCCTCATTTAGTAATGTCATGATAACGTCATACATAAAACTGTGTTTTGCACCCTAAGGATCTTGTCAGTTGCTTGTACAGGTTGTAGTTCTTGAATAAATCTCACACAATATTTTACCATAATGACATGTTCAACAAATTAAGGTATAAAGAAATCTGCGTGTCACAAAGTTAAAGTTTCTGTGTAATCATTCATATTTGTACTGTGCTATAATGCCGCAAATCTTACCTCCGTCTCTGTCATTTTTGTTTACATTAGTGTGAACAAGGAAGAGTTCCAACAAGGGGAATAATCTCGCTTATTTTATTGCACGGCGACTATGCAATACCATAGCGGATGAATGGTCACTTTTATTTTTTAAACCACATTTTAGAAAAAGTATATTAAAGAGAAAGAGTCAAGGGGTTCCGTGAGTAAACCATTTTGATTCTATATTTACCAAATATGAGATAAAATAGCTAAAACATCACAAAGTAACGTACAACAGTACGTCTTCTTTTTCATTACAATGGTGTGCAATTCGTGTCATAAAAGTTCCACGTCATGACAAGGTGCGTGGAGATAGTGAGTTGTTTTTGTAATTGTTGCGCAATGGAAAGGGTATATAAGTACTGTATAACTGTAAACCAATATCGAATCCAAAGACATTTGAAAAAAATCTTACATCTACATGTTTATGTTTATATATGCAATCAACTGAGTAAGGTATGTCAACTGTACAAAAAAATTACAGAATGTATCAATTTATATATTTTTTCTAATAATTCAATATTCAATTTGGGTTTCCGATTTTTAAAATTGTACAATGTCACTATAATACATGTAAACAATCACTTCCTTACTTACAAAAATAGTATTTAACGTGACGATGTCCTTGGTCGCACTTGAGCAATATTTTATTAAAATATATATATTAAAGACTGAATACGGCCTTTTTTTTTTACCCGTACTATTTGAAGTTAAAATCAAGTTACTTTAAATTTTATCAGTGAAGAGTATTGTATTTTTAACAGTTAATTTGGTTTGAAAACAATAGACGTCAAAATTGTTTTCTAGAGTAACATGAGTAATTATATAATTTACATCTAACTATCTCAATATCTAAAAAGAAAACTCTATATCTGATTAGAATTGTTTAAAATGGCAATCATTACATTTAATTATTCCAATTATATTTAATTAATCACTCAGTGTCAATTGTATTATTATTAGCATCGTATTTAACCCCGAGGTAAATTTTGCCATATATAATTCTCTCTGGCTGTAGGCTAAGCCTTAGGATAAATAAATCTTTGATCTTACTGGAAAATTTTCTACATTACGCTATAAAATGGGGTAAAAATGTTTGTTTATTTACACATTCAACCTAACTTATTCCAGATTTATCAACCTGTAAACTCAGTTTTGTCGTGTCAAGATCACCTTTACCTTTCTTTTAACAGCCGAGGTATGGCGAGTATCGCAAGACGCCTACCCCATTATAAGTTTGGACTGATAGCAGACGTGCAATATGCAGACTCCGACAACGGATTCAATTTCAGCAGGACCAACGAGCGATTTTATCGCCGTTCACTGACGCTACTAAAGGAAGCCGTTTACGTTTGGAAGAAAGAAAAAATAGACAGTGTACTTCAGCTTGGTGACATCATAGACGGAAAATGCTTCTCTGAGAAAAAATCTGATATTTGTTTACAACGAGTTCTAAATCAATTTAATGAATTACAGAAGGATGTTTATCACGTCTGGGGGAATCATGAACTGTACAATTTTGAACGCAAATTTCTGATGACTTCCGAGTTAGGACCAAAAGAGGAATGTTATTCACCTCCCGATTGTGCATATTATTCAATTGATCTGCATCAACGGCTTCGACTAGTGGCCCTAGATTGTTATGAGGTCAGTTTGCTAGGAGTTGATAAATCTTACAGATATTTCGACCAAGCATGGAACACGTTGGGAGCTATAAACCAAAACGACACTTGGAACAGCCCAGAAGGTCTCGTGGGGTTGGAAAAAAGGTTCGTGAAGTACAATGGCGGATGTTCCACAAGACAGATTCAGTGGTTAGATGAGGAGCTTGCAGCGGCCAAAAGAAGGAAGCAAAATGTCATTGTAATAGGTACCTATCCATATCATTTAACAAATGCTCTGTTTTGTTATTACTCGGAATTTAAATACTCTTAAGCAAGTTGAATCTCTTATGGTTTAATTTTTTTTCTTCAAGGTCATCTACCAGTTTTGGAAAGCAGTGCGCATGCGGCTAATCTGCTTTGGAACTTTGATGAAGTCTTACAAGTTCTTAAGGCCAATAAAGACTGTGTGTTGTGTTATTTCAGTGGCCACGATCATGATGGTGGATTTGACTTGGACGAATCAGGAATTCATCATATAACATTGGCAGGAGTAATAGAGGCAATAGACAATAACCCGTTTGGCACCGCGTATCTATATGACAACGAACTTGAAATCAAAGGAAACGGAAGTGTTCCTGACTTCTGTATTGACTTAAAGTATCCAATAAGGACTGGAACCAGTTGACCAAACTTTTTTCACGATTTTTATTGTTATTTATTTTATTCATGAAATGAAATACTCGTACACTGTTTTAACACCAATGATTAATTCAGGAGACGTTTTATATGAAGTGCTCATTATTTTATTGAAGATTTTTATCATTTTTTATTGTGTCGTTAATTTCTTTCATAACAATAAAAATGGTTTTTATTTTTCTGCTCATTGATATTTCATTCAAGTTACATGTATTCAGGAGAGAAATAAGAGAGACACTAATTTCAGGAAATTGAACAATTTGTCCTCCGTTTAAGGACGGGTTTGTTTAAGATATTTTTCAGATCAATTTGTAACAATATACGAGTTTTTGACCTTTTGATCTTTTCACCTCCAAATCTAAAGGGATTTGATTTATTATAGACAATATTGGACTGAATCTGGAAACCATATCATACCATAGCCCCCCCCCCCCTTTTCAATATATTCCGATATGGGTTTTTTCCACCAAAAAAAAAAAACGTTAAAAATTGATAAGAGTTATAGCCTTCTGCATATTTTACACAAACATCAAAGAATACGCACAAGGGGGAAAATGAAAGAATCCCATAATAACTTTTTACAAATGAGAATTTTCTATCCATTTCAGGTAATTGACTAAAGGTTCAGGTTCACAAAATGACCCTATACTATTCAAATTAAGGTTTCAGAGAAGAAATTGTCACGAATTGTTGACGATAATCCTATCTTAACTGATAAGGTGGAATTCTATTCACATTGTCATAGACTTAGCACCGCCATGAACCACCTTCTGATTCTTTCCTGCCTTATTGGTATGTTATTAATATAAAATTTATCTTAAAAAAATCAAATTTTTAAATGAAAGTTAAGACAGCATGGGTATTCACGTTTTATTAAAAAAAGAACCCGTGTTGATAGGGTCAATTGCATGCCAGCTGGTCCTTCCACATGTATGTCAGAAGATGTGCACGGCGCAGTACGCACCAGTATGTGGAACCAATCATATAACTTACAGTAAGTTTTCTTTTTTATTTTTGCCCTCGACACCAATGACTGTGAAATTAACGTTTTCCTGATCCTACCCCACCCCCAAAATAAGATATTACGGAACATACGCGTACACGACATGCTGCCTTTTAGACACACTACTCTCGACCAATAAGTTAATCGCGTGCATGTACGCGTATAGCGAGTCAAATTTTGCACCACTACCCAGTACTGATTTTATATTCAATTTATCAAACAGAGAAATATTAAGTTCGGATGTCAAACTTTCGACCAAGGCGATAGTGAGATTGATGTTTTCTTTCTGCAGGTAACATGTGCAAACTGCAGATCGCCGAATGTGAAGCCAAACTTCATCACCGCTTCCTAGGACTGGCCCATACAGGAACATGCTCATCTGGTGGTGGTCACGTGACAATACCAACTCACTTCGACTGTCGACAACAAGAACCATGTGACGAGGAGGAGACTACAGGAGAAGTCTGCGGAACAGACGGGGTTACATACAGTAAGAAACAAGGATATTCAAATCTTTTAATCCATAATGAAATAGAATCCAGCAGGATACTGAGTTTGTGACGAAGGAACAATATGCATTTAAGAAATAAAGTCCGCGTTATCGTGAATGTTGCAGGATAACCTCCGAGGTCGAGAATGTTGTCTGAAATATAAAAGCCGAGGCGTTAGCCGAGGCTTTTATATTTCAGACAACATTTCGAGATCGAGGAGGTTATCCTGCATCATTTACGACAACAAGGACTTTATTTCTATTCTACTAACGGCTCTAAAATACAGTTGATCGTTTTCTCTATAGAGAAACGAATTAGATCACCATGTCGCAATTTCGCTGTTCCATTTAACACCAGAGGGTCAATCGATTGCATTAAATGCAGATGATTTCAGCTTTCGTTGGATTAAAAATATCCTTTAATTATTTACAAAGTTGCTTGTATCATATATTGATTAATTTTTATGAATGAAAAATAACAAAACCAGTTGTCTATTTCATTGATTTATCAGTAAAATCACGGGAGTGTAAATGTTGTGGGGAGGTCCATAGAACAGCCCAACTTGGCTATAAAAACGGATATTTATCAGCTGTTTCAGGCAATACACACGTTTAGACTGCGGAAGACGACACATCGATGTGGTTTATATAAGTATTAGATTATACAGTGAAATATTTATTTCAACTGTACAGATTTGACATGTGTTTCTGATCTGATAATTTTTTGATGACGTTCGTGATTTATTGGAGAATAATGTCCGCGGCATTTCTTTGATCTCGGCAATAATCGTAGTAGAATTACCGATATATCCCTAGTTGACATAGCAAAATGCAAACTACCAAGGTCCTTAGCTGAACGTAGCTATGTATAAATAGGAGGTTTCCGAGATCTTGTGTGACACAGAGCGCCAATGGTGATTGTAATGATTTCTTTAGTTAATGTGACATAATTTTTGTCACTAGAGATTATCGATATCCTCTTTGAAAGCAACATTAACTGGCAAAATTTCCCACTGGTGGTCGCTGATAATCATCTTCTGTCAGACACCTTGGGAGGGATGGTTTCTGAGACCCTCTGTGCCACAATTTGCCAGTCTAGGTTAAATCAATGCTGATTTCGGAGATCATTTACAGGCCCGTAGGAAGCAATTTCAGTTTGGGGGGGGGGGGGGGCACAGCCAAACATTTTTCAGTTGACAGTTGAGGGGGCACTACCAAAAATTTTCTGACAAGCAAAAAAAAAAAAAAAAAAAAAAGGTCGTCAACTACCAAATATTCCTCGACAAGCAAAAAAAAAAAAAAAAAAAAAGGGTCAGGCGGTTTTATTGAGGGGGCAAATGCTTATAGTATCTATGTTTACTATAGTAATCTATATATGCGCGGCCCCCCCGTGCCCCCCCCCCGGTTCCTACGGCCATAATTTAAGTGCAGACTACCAATATCGCCAATCAACATATCACTACGTCTTTGGCCAATTTATTTGTATCTTTCTTTGAAATTAATCGATGGAATCAGATTTAGATTTTCATTTTGTTATTGGGGTGTTTTGTTGCTGATATACAATAACGTGGAATTGAAATTTTATCTTCCTACAGAAAGTCAGTGTCATTTGGAACAGTCAGCTTGTGCTTTGGCCGCTGCTGGAGACCACATGACCAAATCTCATTCTGGACCTTGTTCAGCGATGGAGGCCAGTCACGAATGTCCGACGAAATGTGACGAAACTCTCGACCCCGTCTGCAGCAACGCAAACGTCACATACAGTCTGTATTCACCATCTATACACCCATACCATTTGTCAAACATGTACTATCATGAAAAAAAAATTAAACAACTTTATAAAATGATGATACTGCTACAACAGGTTTTGTGTCTGTTACAGAAAACCCATGCATTTTGAAGCAGACTTACTGTCGATTTTTGAAGTACAACAACCCTACATTCTTGGAGAGATACGAAGTCCAACACGCTGGAACTTGTGACGGTTCAGATCCTACTAAGACAATCGCAGTAAGAATGTAATATATATTGCAGTTAAAATCATTTTTAAAAAAAACATGTTTCTTGATGCCCCTTTTAACTTTTTTTTTCACTTTGATTTTCATCCTTATGTTAGGTTGATTGTAGCAAATATGTGACAAATGTGGGATCCATTGCTGTGGAAGGCGGATCAACCAACTCAGTCAACTGTCCACGTATGAGTGGTGTTACTCACAGTGTATCTGACTACGTGTGTGGCGCTGATAAACACACTTACTATTCAGAGTGTTACTACTGCAAACACGTTGCTCAAATGAGCAAAAATGGTAAAATTGAAAAAATGAACTTTAATTGTATATTAATTTACTTGATTTATTGTATACAAGAAACGCTTATCTGTGTTAAGATTCACTGACCATCTAACAAGAGAGATAACTCTCACTGGGATAAAACTATCATTCCTTTATAAGAATTGTAAAGTTAAAAGCCTATTTATTGTCAAATTTTGCTGCACAAGATATACTGAAACTGTGTGCATTTTACTTAAAAATTAGATTTCTGTTGGAAAATCATTAACGCGAAAGCATTTCAGAGGGATTATGTACCTTAAACTTCTGGAAACAAAATTTACGATAAACGCGCCAAAATTCGAAATCTATTATCGACTTCATTTAAGTTGAACCCATCATTATTCCTTTTTCAGGTGACCCGTCAGGAGCTGCTATTTTAATGACAGGAGTCTGTCCACATTACATAACACAACATGTTATTGGATGAAGTTAATGTGTATAGATTTGAATAAATGTTTTATTATTTCAAATGGGACTATACACCGATTGTTCTTTTTTTTTTCTACTTTGATATCTGTACTAGTATTTGATCAATAACAACACGATGCATTTATTTGGCGGGGCAAGATACTATTAGAGATATATTACGTTAGATTAGGCGGACTTAAGAGTCAGTTGTCTCCATCTTTTGTAAAAACGGACAGAATTTACATCGACGGTGGGAAAAAAAGTTTAATAGAAACGTCTATGCCTAGAAATGTACTATTTAATAGGCGTCGGAAGCAAATTGAAAGGGGGGGGGGGCTATTTGAAAGAGAAAAAGGCTCAACTCCAATATAAGGATAAAGTAGTCCTTTTACTAAAACCAATATGAACATATTCTTACACCAATGTATAGTAATTTTACAGAATTAATTATTTCCACATTTCCATACATACGACCAGGGACAGGTCGACAGTTGACACTTTCCATACGTTCAAGTGTCGACAGTTGACAGCTGACACTTTCCATACGTTCTAGTGTCGACCGGGGAAAGGTTGACAGTTGACACTTTCCATACGTTCTAGTGTCGACCGGGGACAGGTCGACGGTTGACAGTTGACACTCTATGTATCCCGTTCTATTGTCGACCGGGGACAGGTCGACAGTTTACAGTTGATACTTTCCATACGTTCTAGTGTCGACCGGGGACAGGTCGACGGTTGACACTTTCCATATGTTCTAGTGTCGACCGGGGACAGGTATATGGTTGACAGTTGACACTCTATTTATCCTGTTCTACTGTCGACCGGTCGACGATTGACAGTTGACACTTTTCATATGTTCTAGTGTCGACCGGGGACAGGTCGACGGTTGACACTTTCAAAATGTTCTAGTGTCGTCCGGGGACAGGTCGACGGTTGACACTCTATTTAGCCTATTCTACTGTCAACCGGGGACAGGTTGACAGTTGACACTCTATGTACATCCTGTTTTAATGTCGACCGCGGACAGGTCGACGGTTGACATTTGACACTAAATCGTGTGCAAGTTACTACAATCCCTCTGGTGTATGCGAGACCAAAAGTAATGTTAATGGTGTGATAGAAACTAACTCTAATCACAATGATTTATGTGAGACTAACACCTAACCCTAATTAATAGACTAACCCTAATCCCACTGATGAATGCGAGGCTAACCTTAATCTAAATGGTTAATGCGAGGCTAACCCTAATCCCACCGATGAATGCGAGGCTAACCCTAATCTATATGGTGTATGCGAGGCTAACCCTAATCCCACATGTGAATACCTGTTTATCCTTAATATAAATTGTGTATGGTACCCTAACTCTAATTACGCCGATGAATGCGAGACTAACCCTTATCTCTATGGTGTATGCGAGACTAGCTTTAATCTCTATGGTGAATCCGAGCCCTAATGTCACTTGTGTTTTCAAGATTATAATCTCCCAGGGAATGCAATTCTTTCCGCACAAAAAATAGCTCTCAAAACCAGTGTGAAATACCATAATATCACGGGTCTCGTGTGTCCCGATTCGTTAAAATGCTTTCCATTGTGGTGTCAGTAACCCAATAGGGAAAAGGCATAAATTGTTGAATGTCAACTGTCAACTGTCTCCGGTCGACACTAGAAATGGTTAGAGAAAAAAGGCATAAAATTGTTGAATGTCAACTGTCCCCGGTTGACATTAGAAATGGTTGATTATCTACTGTCAACTGTCTGCGGTCGACAGTAGATAAGAATGGGAACTGTCAACTGTCAACCATGTAAGGTTGACAGTAGTCAAATGGTCAAATGGAAACCAAATCACTACTTTCATATATATATATAAGTTTCCGCATAGGGACTACATACCCTTATATTGGAGTTGACCCGAGAAAAAAGATTTCAAACCTGAAAAAAAACTTGACAAGCTTAAAAAAAAAGGAAAATTGAAAATTGTCGAAACCCGAAAATCCTATTTCGTAGGGGGGGGGGGGGGGGGGGTTACGATCGAATTTCTTTCAGTACCTTTTTTTTCAAACACTACCACTTACCTTTCTTTAATTACACTGCAATGTGCCTGTTGAAAGTGGGGGTGGGGGGTAAACCTACGCCCTAATGTTCAATGCCTATATTATGTCTATCTTTGCAGAAAAAGTGGGGGACTAAGCCTCCCTTTAGCCCCCCCCCCCCCCCCATTATTTGTGATGTTAAAAACATGAAAGATTTTTTGAGCGATTTTTAAACACGTCCAACTGAACTTCAATCAATATACTTGTACATCTATTTACTTGCTTTCTAACTTAACTGTATACAGTTACATGTATTCCTAAAAAGCATGGTCTCATTTTCTGTTTTCTCCTCTCTTTTCTTACATGCTCTATTTCTTCTTAACATAACTAATGCCACTTTTGTGAACGTGTAGCATAACAAATTCACACAATCTTTCTTCCCTGTTTGTGCTGCTACACCATGTTTTCAACCTCCTTTCACCGAAAATGATGCTCACAGGAACAAGCTTCCACTGGAATTGTAAGAAGTAACGGGCCGGGTATGTAGTGTATACATATGTTTGGATAAAGTTGAATGCATTGTTGGCGTCTGGCGCATTCAAACAATGCATGTGCATCTTTATTTTGGAAAAAAAACATCCTTTTTTTTCCTGAGGCTTCATTTCTCTTTTCGGGAATATTTTTCGCTCGAATTGCTTTTGGTGAACTCATTCATTGCACTTCTCGCTCGAGGTACTGCATTGCAGCTTTTATCAATGACAAGGTTTAGCTCGTTGGAACTTCAGTGTTTGAAATAATTTGAATAGGAATATCTGCAAGTCTCTTTTGAACACAAAATATTTTTCCAGAATTGTGAAGCATCCATTATAACCATCTCCCTGCATACTTCTAAGATCAAATCCCAACTTTTCAGTCATTGTGTTTAGTACTGATTGTTTCTGCATTCTCCACAAACTCCAGAAAATCCTCAGTAACATTTACGGCGCCTTTGTGTAATAACGAACAAAATTTTACAAGCTGAAAAATCTCCTATATAAGTTTTTTTTCCTTCAGCCATTATGCTGCAATGTTTACCGTTACATTGTATTTACATTTTTCAAAAGTCTTTGTTCGAGAAAAAAAAAACAGAAATAAGGAAGAAGTTGTACCTTCATAAAGCCATTTGCTCATGTACAGAACTGCTTTCTATCTGTGTGGCTTAGCAATACACTGGACAGGACTTGCAGACTTGAATTTTGAATAAAAATAACGTAAATATTTCATTTTTTAAAGAAACGAGGCATGCGAAGATCTTGAAAGTACCCCCCCCCCCTCTGGAATTTGCAAAGTTATTAAAATTATATACTGAAGCAAATAAAAAATGACCCTGGAACCCCTTAGAAAACGTGGAACCCACACTACGACTAATAGGTATTTTTCAAGTTTCGGAATAGGCTTAACCCCCCACCCCCCACCCCCTCTTTTTTTCTGGCTTGTCAAGAAAATATGCATAGGTGACAAGTCTGTGTGATTTACAAACCAATATCTCACACAAAACTTAAAAACATTCCTTAGATATTGGTGTTTTGAAAGCTGTTCAAAGCTTTCCATTCACTTTATAAGCAAATTACATGTGGAATGTAAATATATCGACATAAACCACAAAACGTCAGAAATGATGTTATCTTTTAATGCACTGTGTAATAAGGCTTTCCACAAAACTTAAGATTGTGTCGATTTTTATTTTCAACTTAAAATGACCAAAACTGTAGAACGAGTAGCGTTTTGAAGGTATTTCACGGAATTTTCTATTTTTAGTAACCATGGAAACTCCGTTTATGAAAACCAAAAACTAATGCATTATGTATCTTAGTGTAGTCTACTTGTGTGCCAATTTTATATTGAAATCATAACAATACATATGAGGAGTAGCAGTTTAAAGGAATTTCACAGAAATTTTTATGAAATCAGACTTAAACTGTAGGAGGAGTAATGTTTTGAAAATATTTCACAGAAATTTCTATTTCTGGTAACCATGGCAACACTGTTCAGTGAAATCAAAAACTGATGCACTGAATTATGCATCTTAGTGTAGTCTACTTGTCTGCTAATTTATATTGAAATCAGACCATAACTGTAGGAGTAGCCTTTTAAAGAAATTTCAGAAATTTCTTTTAGTAACCATGGCAACACCGTTCATTGAAATCAAAAACTGATGCACTGAATTACGTATCTTGGTGTACTTGTGTGTCAATTTAAATTAAAATCAGACCAAAAATGTAGGAGGAGTAGCCTTTTGAAAAATTGTTTACAGAGAGGACAGACGACGGGACACACATAATATCACATCTCCTCTGGTTTTTGACCAGTAGAGCTAAAAATCAAATTAAGTTTTTGGACTTTATCTTTAATACCATTTTCCCTGTGACATGGTAATTCTATTATACACCCCTACACACTTTGACATGTAAACTTAAAAAAAAGAAGAAGACAGAATTATGTATAAATATTGACATTTTATTCTCATTCATCCTAAACATTCAAGTTTACAAACAGAAACATTCATGCATCTTCAACGGAACTGCAGATAACTGAAAAAACGTCTGTCAAAACACAGTCCTGAAAACAAATTTTAGGGTTGCTGAACATAAGAAAACAGACTCTTACAGTTCTCTACAACAAACATCCTTAAAATAGATTCCTAACACAACAAACTGATAACATATACACCCAGGCTTTCATAGAGTAGCAGGACATTTATAAATATTTAACATAGTGGGATGTCATTGCCTGCATTAATTGGTTACAAAACAAAGCAGATACTGAATTTTCTATGATCTCTCACAAGATATGCAGAAACATATGCCAAATAAGAAAAAAAAAATACACTAGGAAAATTGTTGCTTTAATAGTACTTGTGTCTGCTTTGATATTTTATTTGGTGAAAATGATGAACACTTCTCATGGTGTCAAGCGTGTTATTAAAGTAACAACTGGTAACAAATACATTGGGAAAAACAAAATACTGAAGCTTTCTACTGCAAAAATACCTATTAATTTACAAATCTGCTTTCTATCAATTTCTTTTTACAACATACATCCATTTTTTAACATAATATTTTTACTTTGCATGTTTCCCCTTCAAAATCAAATGGAATTGAAATAGCAATTCATAACAACATTTCAGATGGGAGAAAAACTATGTTGTATTGTCTCGCAGATGTATAAAAAACATGAACTTTGCATTATAAATTGCTGACATGATTATCACAAAGAGCTGCCTCTCCCTGGTGGTAGGAGCTGGCTTTTCCAGTTGTCAATCTCAATAATAACTTTATATAAGAAATTTGATGTCTCTCTGTGGAAAGTTTGATGGACATGCTGTGTTCACCATTTCTCTGCTGTGCTATGTGATTTAGTTAATGTACTGAGCTAGCCAGCGGAAGCCTTCCCCATACCCTTGTCTTTTCAGAACACTACACATAAATAACTCCATTGGACGGCCAGGAAGCTCATTTCTGGACACAGTTCCCTAAAAAGAGAAATAAGACTTTTTGTTATACATATCACAACTTTGCTTTTGGTGGACACAAGAGTGAATACATTAGCATGGACAGTGATATCAGTAATTTCCTCTGCTCTTCTAGTAAACTTTATCTTAATTCTTTTTTTTAAAGAAACACAGGAGTCATGCTAAAATTCCCCAGTAACTGAACACTTTAATGAAATTCTAGTCAAGCTTTTAAAGCCTTTTAAGAATCTGAATGTTGTCATTGCTTCTATCAAGATTCTCTTTGAGAAGATCATCTCTACTATACAAGGATTCATCATCTTACCTTTCCTGTGGTTTGTCCGTGTAACCCTAACCAGTGACGAATCTCGTCCTCACTTGCAGCACCAGCCTTGTCAATTTTGTTGCCTAGAACAAGAACAGGGGCACTGGCCACTTGTTCATCTGTCAGTAAACTCTGAAATAATACATTTATTATGACAATATTTTCTTTTTGTTTTATACTACTTTGAAGGTCATGTATGCTCTTATTTAACTGTGATATGCTGTGCTTACATCTAATTCTGCTTTTGCCTCGGCAAATCTCTGTCTGTCACATACATCTACTAAGAACACAATACCATCAACTGCAGGAAAATACTCCTTCCACACTCTTCTGGCTGTTAACACAAAAGCACATTTCAGAACATTTGTACTAAAATTCTCACAGATAATCATTTACCAATTACAGGTTCAGCATACATGTATCCTGTATATTTAGGATCCAGCTTCTTTACAAAGCTTTATTTTGCTCATGATTTTTGATTAAATTTTCATTGAAAGAAAAAAAAATTCTGTTGTATCACAGGTTTATGTTCAATTTATTTACCTTGCTGATGACCTCCCAGGTCAAATGTTGTGAACCTCATTCCTCCCATTGATAATTCTTCTGAAGCTAAAATTAATGCATAACAAAAAATTTAAAAAGCCTAATAGTTTGACTATGAGATGCTATCATTTCATAATCAAAGGCAGTTATCATAATCATGGCAGTATCACAAACAGAATATGAACTTCTAAGGATGTGAAAAAATATGAAATATGACTTAAATTAATGAAATATGAATTAAAACTCCAATGTAGTTTTTCAAATAAATTTAAAGTCGCTCGGAAATTGTACCATTTCACATTCAAAAGACAAACTTTGGTATGTCAAAACTGTAGGGTCTTAGGGAAATTTCGAGACATAAGGGTTCAAGATAGGGTGGAGGGAGGTAATGAGAGGTTAAATAAAAAAAACTTTTAATGTTAAACTGTGTTCCTTGTTAATAATGAATGCCTTCTTTACTGTTATGGATCAGGTTATTTGCACCTAACGTTACTTTGCTTTCTTTCACAACATGATATTTTCAACACTTCGAACCATACAACTTCAAAGTTGGGGGACACAAGGTAATGAGAAAGTAATTAAAAAGAAATCTTTTAATGTTATATTTTTTTTTTAACATCCAGAGCCTTTTTGATTTGCTGTTATGATCAGATAATCTGCACATAATGCTTGCTTACCATCACAGCAAGATATTTTAAATGCTGGTTTGAACCATACAACATCAAAACTGCAGAGATGGAAAAATAAAACAAGTCAATTTGCCCATTTCTGCAGTTGAAAATAAGAAAAAAATCTTAAATTATGGCAGATAAATTTACATCCTAATGATCCCCAGGTATCAGATTGTGTTTTTATGCATGGTGATAATTCATGACCTCTCCCTCATATGCAGGGTGGCAAATGTGTTGTCTTCATATATATGACAAATGTCACAAGCGAGAATAAATTAATATGTAGTAAACAATAAATTCTGACATTGATATGTTTGTTTTCTTTTGACATATTGTTGGAGTATGACGTCAGAGCAGTGGATAAGGGAAAAAAGAGCTTTGCCAAAAATTTATATACACCTTAAGTATTTTATTATATTGGGATTCTTTGGAATGCTAATATTATTATTTACCAGGTACTGCTTCATAGAGAGATATCAGAAATTATTGGGCCTAAGTAAGGATGGTGACATATCCAGAGTTGTCAACATACTCAAAGCTGAGATACCAAAGTTTACCTGTGGTTTACCAACTGAGTAAAATTTTAAAAAAAAAAAAAAAAAGCTCTCTCTGATGTACCAAGCTGGAAAAATGATATGCATCAGAAAAAACAGTATACCATTTCTAAGTGAACAATATAAGCTCATGCTTACTTGGGTGGAGTGTGGGTACATGCTGTGCCATCCTGTCATCTTTTAACATGTGAAGCAGTGTTGTCTTCCCAGCATTGTCTAGACCGAGGAACACAAGCTTACCAGACTTTTTATACAATCCTAAAATATAAAGCCATGCCTTTAAATGTCATGCAGCTTGCCATACTTACAGTTTAGAGGTTCAAGTCACACTCCACTCAAAGGAAAATACATGTACCTACATTTCAGGTTCACACCAAAAGTTATAAATAACACATTGATTAAACAGAGGATATATAATGGGAGAATCTTTCTTGTTTGTTTGGTTTTTTTTTGCAGCTCAGTGCAGTACACATTGTAGTACATAACTGTAGATCACTAATTTTTTGCGAGATATGAAATTGGTATTTAAGCGAGAAAAAATTTTCACAAATGCTGGTTATTGCTGTATATATATTCTATACTGATACAAATATACGTGAGAACGAATTTTTGCAATCAGACAATCTCGCGCAATAATGCGAAATTAAAATTCTTGCGAATAAAAGGTGATTTACAGTACTAAACAAATTGATTTCTTCCTCTCATTTTTTTTTTCAAATTTAGCGTTCTATTTATGTTAATCTTGTTATGTGCAAATAAAGTGAGTATTTAAATTTCCTTTATTAAAATGAATCAATTTTCAGTTTCTGGTAAAGTATTTATAACTCCATTTTAATACTGTCCAATAATTGTTGAAAATGCAATCAAATTTTCAAACATTTTTGTCAATTTTTTTCTCCTCTTATAATACCATGGTCTCTCACATGTAAGATCATATTACTAAACTGTTGGCCACCCAGCCAACAAGAAAAGCTTAAAACTAATGCTGTAGTAATGTGTACAATATGAAGCGTAAGAATCCATCTTACATATTAGCAGATATAAAATGTTTGGTATGTACATCATCCGTTAGTATTAACATATGTGCAGATCATTTCAAAAACATAAAAGTATGGATGTAAAATGCACAAGTTCTCTCAAATCTAGGTATGTGTTCATGATGCAACACTGAGGACATACTGTACGAGGACCTCAAAGGCAGCTTACTTGGGTGTAGTGTAGGAACAGGCTGAATGATATGGCCTGCTTTCAACACACTCAGCAGTGTTGTTTTTCCAGCATTGTCTAATCCCAACAAGAGAAGCTTGCCAGATTTTTGACGCAATCCTCATGTAGTACAGAAAATATACACAAATATATGTAAAAATAATCTGTTTTTACTTGGCCAGTTTTCAAATGGTCAGATAAATATTAAGGAAAAAAAGTTTTCTAGAATGGAATTAAAATGTTGCTCTTACCTAGATAATTTAAAATGCCAGCAAACCAGTCCCACAAAAACATCTTTCAAATCTAAACAGAAGACCTGCAGCTGAAAGTACAAAGAAAACATACCCATTATATGATGTATTACAAAAGATCAAGAACTTTTAGAGATGAAAGTTTGAGTATTATATGTCCAAAATATGATTTGAATAATTTTAGTCTGTTTATGTGAAATCCTACAAATTTGAAACTAATGAGATCAAAAGTATTAGAACTGGTAATTAATAAAAATTCCCTATTCAAGGCCTGTTGCACTGGAATTTCTACTTATAGAATTTTTAACATTGATTATTAGATCTAATTTTGGAAGTTTTTTTTTTAACCCAGTTCAACATGTTGAAGATCAAATCCACAGTGCCCCAAATGTGATTAAAAAAAATAATATAAATGTTTTATAATTTTTACCATCCTTTGCAATTCTTGCTTAAAAAATTGGTTTACTTGGAAAAATTGTTAATGCATGGACTTGAACTTATTCACAGATTTATGTCAGAAATTCTATGGATTTGGTATATCATCATCAGTTCAGAGGTTGTGGTCACAGAGACAGATGTTCTAGAAACACAAAAATCGTGGACTGAGGTCAATCAATCCGAACATCTGAACTTCCTCAGTTCCAAACATGATTTTAAAGCGTTCACAACACTCTAAACTAGTTCACCATTTTTGTTTTCATGCTAAGAAATACACTTACGAATAAATTCCACAGTCTCCGTACTTTGTACACGACGCAAAATGGCAGTCTACGTTGCACAACTGTAACAAAACGAAGTGTCAATTGGTCGACACGCCACAGATTAGCCAATGAAATATAGGCTTACGAAGCTGCAGTAAATGTGATTGTCTCACGCGAGTAAATGTTAACAACAACGGAGAGCTGAGAATGGCAACTCTCCTTTCACAGGTAAATTTTATCTACGGTAGCAAAGTGTTATCAAAAATTCTTATGTACAGTATATATCAATTTCATTCACATAAATTTTAAGTTTATTATCTTTTTAATATAATAAGAAGTAAAGGTGAATAATTTTGCTCATGTACCGAATTTCCTCAATAATTTGGTGAAAATATAGATATACTCCACCTATCAAGATTATGATATGTATAATCCGTATCTTGCATATTTATGTTCCCTACTCGTGAAATCGTTGGACTATAGGTTTTACTCCTGACTGTTCTGGGACATTTAATGATTTTGTACATACTTGTATTTAAAACAGGTCCAGCACAATCTCTTGATTTAGCTATATAGCTTGAAATAGCTATATAGCTTTTTTAAGCTATTCAAAATAGCTTGATAAAGCTATTTATGTGCAGTTTTTCAGAAAAATGTTTTTTGTAAGAAATAGACAAAAAGTTGCAAGTACTTGACTATTCTTATATGTACTATGGGCTATCAAAACAACAACCAAAATCAAAGAAAGTTTTAACATAGCAGCATTTGAATACTTTTAAGCAAAAGATGTATTTCCATTGTTTGAGTAACTGTACACTACCTTGTGTGCGTTTAGGCATGGATAAGTATGATTGCTTCTCATTGTACTGAATTATTACCAGTCAATTATCTTGTTGACCATAATTGGCCTCCTTTATAATTTCATTGCAGAAGTAACTGTATCAATTGCTTTATATAGCCCCAAAACTTTTAGAACTTTGAGTACAAAGTCTCTTAAGGAGACGCAATTTGATGAGTGATTTTTACATGCATCATTTTCAGAAGAGTTCAAGGTTGAATATTATCACTGCACCAAGGTGCGACTTTTTGTGCATGCTGAGAAAATAACACATTTAAGAAAAAAGTGTGATAAAATAGCTACATCAAGCTATTCTGTATAGCTTAATAAAGCTATATAGCTAAATCAAGCTATATAGCTAAATCAAGAGATTGTGCCGGACCTGTAAAAAAAGTTGTATATAAGTTGTTTCCTTTGGATTTCAAACAGTTTCATTAGAGTAACAGCCCTTTGAACAGGTCCGGCACAATCTCTTGATTTAGCTATATAGCTTTATTAAGCTATTCAGAATAGCTTGATTTAACTATTTTATTACACATTTTTCTTAAATCAATAAATGTGTTATTTTTTCAGCATGTACAAAAAATCACACCTTGATGCAGTGATAATATTCAACCTTGAACTCTTCTGAAAAAATAAAATTCAAGTAAAAATCACTCATCAAACTGTGTCTCCTTGAGAGACTTTGTTCTCAAAGTTCTCAAGGATTTTATAGTTAGTTGATTGAAAATTTCTTCTCCTCATGAACAGCTAAAGGGGGGTAACTTTTGGAACTTCCTGTCCAAATATGACTTGAACGATTTTGTCCAAAATGTGCATACACATATAATATATAGTCACATATAGTAGATAAATTCAATAATCCACAGAATTTATGGACTATTTTATTAATCTTAAAAACAATTATTTCATTTACTTACTAAATCTTAAGTAAGAAAAAGCTTTATAGACAACGTAAACTGATTATATGATATCTTGTATAAAATACCGTTATTAAGCAGGTCTGCATATGTACAAAATAGTACACATTTTATTTTGTTTATAGCAACGTCATCCACTATTTTTACTTCAATAGATAAATTTACATGCTTGATTGTTCTGATATTCTTGATTGATTGTCCCTGGTCGAAACCGGTCAACAAAATAAATTTACTTCTGCATTCTCATGAATGTGATATGTTTTTATATCTTTAAGTTTCAAAATGAGATAGGGTATTTAAGAGCTATATGTTTTGTTTTCAACCTCTAAAACCTGTTACCCATTGAGACCGTTTACCCTTATTCTTGATGGCCCTAAATCCTTGTTTATTGTTTGCCCTAATTCCTTTCACCTTAAGTTTATTTTTGGTGCAGTTCTGTTGAAAATTAATTTTCAAAATGAATTCTATCATATTATGTCTTATTTTGTTGTCTAGGAATTGAGTTTATTATAAACTTAACCCCCCCCCCCTTTCTCCCTATTTGTAAAAGCTGCTAAGAGAAGACTCTACAAACAAGTGTGAGAGATAATTATGAAGATTTGATTTGAGTAAATCATGGTAATTCTTTAGATAAGACAATCTTAAAACAATTATGTAGGAATTCCATTATTTCTTGAAAGGAAGTTAGGAACACATTTTTTTTAGTTTACCTATTGATTTTTTTCAGAGAGTCCTTTGCTGCTCATCTAGTTGTAAAAGTCTTTCAAGGACATTCTGTACATCAGTTCAGCTCTACAAAAATCTCAGAGCCGGTAAAAAACAGTATCCAAAGAAAGGAGAGCATAACTTTACTTATGAGGAAATTAACCCTCCCTACACAATAGGTGTCAGAAAATCTTGGAACTCATGGAACACAAGTAAGTTTTTGGTGATCCGTGATTGGAAAGATGTTTTCTCAAATAAGTAATGACCCTCTCCTCAACAGAAAGAAGAAATGAATTTTTTTGGTAATTTTTAGTTTACAATTTTCTAAGAGAAGAGGGAAAAAAATGAAATTCATGCAAATTTAGTATATCATATGGAAATTTAGTTTATCAAATGAAGATTTTTATAACTAGTTATAGTATAAGTTTGGAGAAAAATCATTGATGAATATTATATATAAAAAAAAAAAAAGCAATTTATCAATCCCTTTCCTCCTAAAAATCAAGTATGCATGAACCTGAATGTTTCCAAGGTGCTATTTAGCTGAAGTGTATGTACTGCAAATGCAAAGAATATTAATTATATGTTTTATTATATATACATGTAAATACAAATGAGTCATGCCAATAATATGGATACTTCACCTTCCAGACAAAATTAGTGAAGAACAGAGTTTACATTTACAACTACCTTTATAAAAATTACATTTAAGTAACCCAGATGCTTCATTCTTGATAATTTTTTTGGGAAAACAAGCATCCAGACTAACAAAGCTTGACTATAGTATACAGCCCTTTTATCCATAGATATACAGTAAAACATTCTTATAACGAAGTGCCAGGGACAGACGATTTTGCTTCATTATTAAACATAATTCGTTATATCCATTAATGTCCCAGTATATTTTAGAGGCACGGGGAATAAAAATCAGTTTCGCTGTATTAAGCATCAATTTATTATAAGCGTGTTCGCTAGAAGTGTACTTTACTGTATAAATTTAACAGAAAAGCATATTGACCAAGCATGAAGTGCAAAAATAAAATGAAAGTAAAAACAAAAGGTCAGCCTGCTAGTATATGAACAGTGAATATTGTTGCATTTGCATGCTGAAATCTACATTGAACAGATCTTTTTTTTCTACACCTTATTGGATAAGCTTTGTGAGAAAAGTAACTTATGGGTGTGGTGATATTCTGTAGATTATTTAACTCTAAGTCTTCAACACTGTGTATTCAATTGCTCACTATTAAAATGAAAGCTACCATGGATCGAAATAGATGCACAGTCAGGGGAAGGTTTCATATAGCATTGCAATAATTTATGCCTAAAATAATATTACCAAGACAAGAAAATTAGACACCACATAGCATGCATGTACATATTAAATTTCTCTTACATAATAATGAACCTTTTATATTCCTGATATGTAATGTATAAATTTTTATTTTGTAGCTAATCTTCATGGGGAGTCAGGAGCACCCCAGGTAATATTCGAAGATATTTTTATCCGGAAATTCCTCGCAGGAACTTTTCCATTAGTTTACGAGCCAGGGACTGAAATAATGATCAGAAGGAGACAAAATATGATCGATATTACCATGGTGACAAGAGAAACTTTGAGAACAGGAAGAAAGCCTATGCCCTTACATCGGATGCATTTCTTGCATGGTTACAGTGAAGAATTACTGTCTAGATATTTGAAGTGCCCTGTCAAGCTAGATATACAATGTATGGACAATCACACAGTGCTAAAGGACACAGTGTTCTAGGAATAAAATGATACAATGTACAAAGTTTGTTCTATTTTTGTTGCAGAATTGGAAAAAATATTGTGGATTCTTGAAATGTACAGCTCAATGTACATGTAGTACCTTGAGATATAAAGAGGCTTTACTGTTTACATTCATACAGAAAATCTAGGCCAAAATGCGTTGAGTTCTTTCATTCTGTAGTATTAAGGACTTCAATTCAAAACCTTTCTATTGCAATTCTGCAAAATGTAGTATTCAAGCTTGCCATGCACTACTCTTAAAAGGGGCCAATTTAAAATAAACACAACTTACTAAAGATATCTTAAATTATTTGAAGATGTTATACAGTCATTCTACAATAAAAGACCAATTCAGGGTACATAACATGACAAAAAAAGTTGCTTCAAATAGCCACCAGAACAACATCATTCTCTAAAGAACATATTTGTGCACTTGAAAAAAAAATTATCCACAATTCTTCTTTCATCAACTTCTTATAAATATTTCGATGCTGTAAAAGTGGAATACATTGCCGTAGATTTAATTTCACTGATCGCGGTCCAAAAATTTCCCGCAAACTTTAAACCATCGTGAATATTGTGGAAATATCTATATCAAATATGTGCCATACACGTCTTTGTATTTAGTGATTATTATAATAAAATAGTAAATCATTGAAAATCGTTCAGATAGGTACGAAAACCTATTAGGATCAAACTACGGTAAAAAAAAATTTAAAAGGCGTTATAACGCCTTTCCACGCCTTTTCAAAAGGCGTTATAACGCGAAAAAAGGCGTAATAACGCCTTTTGAAAAGGCGTTATAACGCGGAAAAAGGCGTAATAACGCAAATAAAGGCGTAATTACGCCTTTCCAAAAGGCGTTATAACGCAAAAAAGGCGTTATTACGCCTTTCCAAAAGGCGTTATTACGCCTTTTAAAAAGGCGTTATTACGCCTTTGTAAAAGGCGTTATTACGCCTTTCCAAAAGGGTTATTACGGCTTTTAAAAAGGCGTTATTATGCCTTTGTAAAAGGCGTTATTACGCCTTTCCAAAAGGCGTTATTACGCCTTTTAAAAAGGCGTTATTACGCCTTTCCAAAAGGCGTTATTACGCCTCGTTTTTTTCAATACATGACTTACTTAGCCCATCTTGGGGGCTGATTATAATTAGATTTCCAGGAAAAAAGATTTTTAAATGTGTAAAATATTTTCAGTGTTAAACCGACTTAGTCCTTCTCTGATGCTAGACGCCTCTACCAAGGTGCATGGATTTCAGAAATTTGGTTGAAGGCTAATTGCTTATTATACCTATGCAAATAGTTTGCCTGTTTTTTTCCAAGAGGAGAGAAAAATATTTCAAATTTGACATGAATTTTTAATACGTGGCTAGCAAAGCCCAAAGCTGGTTTTGCCTATATCCTGGATTTTCAAAAGTAGAGTGTTGACTTCTCTTAATATGCATGCAAAATGCAAACAACTGTCTGCGAGATGTGCAGGAATATAGAAAATACTAGAATTTATAATATAATTTATAATATTATAACTATAATCTAAATATTGGGTAAATAAAGATGGCTTTGGTTCAATCTTTCATATATTTACTATTTTAAAATAACGCCTTTCCATTTTTGGATATAACTTCTTTTCAAACAGGCCGGTAGTAAGAATACGAGGGGGGGGGGGCTCCCCCACCCCACTTTTTGGGAGAATAATCTTGCTATAGTTTTAATTTAAAAATCATTTATTGATTGCTTGGTCCCTTAACATTTTGTTGCAGTATGGTTAAACTCAGGCAAGTCATTGCATTTAAAAAAAGGTTTACCGAAAAGTTAGAAAAAGTTTCCCCTCAAGTTTAGGCAGTTTATTTTTTTTGGGGGGGGGTGCTTCTTTTTTTGTTTTTTTTTTTGTTTTTTTTTTTTGATTGCTTGTCAATTTTATGGGCGCCCCCCCCCCCCACTTCAAAAGCATGGGCCTGTTAAAGACATAATAATTGCCCTTCAAAAGGCACAATAACGCCTTTTTGAATGGCGTATTAATGCCTTTTAGAAAGGCGTAATAACGCCTTTTAAAAAGGCGTAATAACGCCTTTTAGAAAGGCGTAATAACGCCTTTTTAAAGGGCGTTATAACGCCTTTCGGAAAGGCGTAATAACGCCTTTTGGAAAGGCGTAATAACGCCTTTTTAACGTAGGTCGCGGGTTTGCAGGCCATTTAAAAGTGTCCGAAAACATACCATGAAAATTAGTTATATGAATCCTATACCTTCGTTTTACATTCTCTGAAAATTTTATAAAATTCGTCTGCACCGTTTTTGTGTAATTAAATCTCAAACATGCCATTGTTGTCGTAACATTTTTGACGGTATTCTATTGAATTATATAAGAAAAACGTCGTTTTCGGCTCTTTTTGAGGCAAGATTTTGTTTCAAAAAGTTTCAATAACTTTTAAATGGTGCAGACGAAATTGTTTCCCCTTTGGTATTTTAACAAATAATTGATTTGAAATAAATTAATGTGATAAAATTAATATGTCTTCGGGTTAGTTTTCGCGTTATTTAATGTGGATAATTGCTTTTATATCGCAAAATGTAACATTTTTAAGAACGACGTCATAAAATATCGCGACGTCATGCTTGACGTCGTGAATATCTATCCGGTATTCAGTGCAGAAAAATAAGACAAAATAATTTTTATAAAAAATAAATTCACGTCTATCTGCTTTCAAGTGACCCGTGAATCGTATCATAATAATTCAATATCAATGGAATGATTATTAGACATGTTTCTCCTCAGATTAGGTTTTTTGTACTTCTTATATATTAGTGAATTCTCGCAAGGGACGTAAAACAACAGTAGATAAAACTTATCCTTACATTTGGCTGTGTATTTTTCTTTTCCAGCGTGCTGGCAGAAAACGGTATCCCCTAATCTAAGTAATTCAAGTATATAAAATGTTTTTATTTAGACCAGCAAGGGCTTCAAATTTACGAATTTCTGCCAAATATCGTCCCGGCTAAGTACAGTATATTTTCAGTATATATTTAAACAAAATATTTATTTTACATACCACATTTTCAGAGGGGTAAATGGGACAAGAATTTAGAATTAATTTTATCTGACGTAATCAACAGCCAGTTTTTTTTAGAACTTTAATTCTACTAGTTTGACATGGAAAGCAGAGTGAATAAAATCTGTAGGTAAGAGCATTACAAGCTGTTGCTTAGGGGACGAACATTTCATTCGGGGATGGTATGTGGTGGGGGTTGGGGCTTGCAGATTTTGGAAATAAATAATCTGTCATCGAATGTGTTGAAAATAAATAATCTGTCCTCGACTGGGCGAGAAAAAAAATCTGTCTCTGACTAGTTCTAGCACCCCCCCCCCCCCCAGAATGGGAGTTTTCAACTTTGATGTTTTTCTTTCTTTCTTTCTTTTTTTTCTTATTGCTTGTCAGACTTTTTTCAGTGAAGAAGAAATAAATAATCTGTCCTTGTTTTTTTTCTTTTTGGAAATAGATAATCTTTCCTTCACCGACATGAAAATAAACAATCTGACTCGGTAAAATTTACCACCCCTCTTTCCCTCAGAAATAAATAGTTGTCCCCTTACAGGAGGTCAGTGTCGCTAAAAAATTGTCTGTATGTTTCATCGTACCTTTGCAGTATTTAATTTGTAATAAATTTGTAGAGCTATATAATTTAAAAATGTCCTTTTGAAAAATAAAGTTTAATCTTTGGATGTAACAGATGTATTTGCATTTTTTTTTTTAAATAATGGCTTCTTTATTAATAAAAAAAAAAAACCCTGTTACATGTAATTCAAATACGATCAAAGGAAAAAAAAGTCAGTTGAGCCTTGTGTCCACATCGTTTCGCGATTCCAAGTGAAAACAAATCAATCGCAATTTCTCGGGCCTTTCCGACAAGCCGAAAAACAACCTGTTGTTTTTCCAAGCTTGCAGGAAAGGCCCGAGAAGATATGCGATTGATAACAAATAATTAAACGTTTTTTAATACTTCCAGTGTCGATCATTCGAATCGTAATAACCCTTCTTCACTAAATTACCGATTCCAACAAAAGTTATATCTAAGTATTGTATCGACTATACAAATCGTTAAAAGCCTACATTATTTGTGATAAGTCGATGCTTAAATAATATAACACTAAACTACCAATTCCAAGAAAAGTTATAGCTATATTATGATATACTGAAGAATTTAATAAAACAAAAATCATCACGGATTTCTTTTCATTTTCATTGTGACGTCATAATCAAATGTGCACAAGAAAGTCGCCCAAATCATATAAATTGCGTACCCAGTTTCAACGACGTCAGCAAACCCGCGACCTACGTTAAAAGGCGTAATAACGTCTTTTGGAAAGGCGTAATAACGCCTTTTGGAAAGGCGTAATAACGCCTTTTTAAAAGGCGTAATAACGCCTTTTAGAAAGGCGTAATAACGCCTTTTTAAAAGGCGTAATAACGCCTTTTAGAAAGGCGTAAAAGGCGTAATAACGCCTTTTTTCGCGTTATAAATATTCGCGCTTTTAAATATTTTTTTACTGTAGTTTGATCCTAATAGGCTTTCGTAGATAGGAAACAGAAGTTAACACCAACAGCTAGTTATAGTTATTTACTGGAAAAGTTTGTTATAAATAATTTACTATAACTTTCTTTGTCTTTAAATTTCTAAATTACAAAATCATGAAATATTAAACATGTGGAATTAAAGACATAAACCCACGGTCATAAGGCAATGTTGGACTTTACTGAAAGGTAAAAGCAGTTTGTCCCAAGTCTCTACGATTTATCGTTTTAAAAAAATTCAGTTATGTAACAGCAAAATTCATAAAAGGGGTCGATGAATCTTTTAACCTCTTTGCGTGTTCCGCACCCACAGAGTTTGGTTTGGTACAAACAAGCTCTGGTGGAAGTTTGTCTTTTCACAATGAATAGATTGAACTGTCCCCTCAATCATAGTCATAACTATTGGTGAAGATTTCTTGGCAATAAAAAAGGTTTATCATGCAGGGGACAATA